GTATAAACTTTGCACTGTTATACTTGTTTATACCCGAAATACACCTGCATCTCAATAATTTTGTCCTATATAAAGTTGTATATGTTATATGAAAATCGAAGAGATGGGTCCCCTCTGATCGCACTGGTTATGAATTGGGTTTGAGTTCCTTAAAATTTTCTGTCTAAAACTGATTAAAACTCCTCGTAACCTGTAGCAAGATAGAATCCCGCGAGCAAGATTATTGCTGGCAGTCGCCGTGTGCCCGACAAAATCTTCGAAATTAACACTTTCGTTGTCGATCGCTGAGCTGACACGTGCTGACATTCACTTGAAATATAATTTCTCTGAGTAGCTACATATGTAGGGACGCATAGTTTTTACTATTTTCATTTCATTTTGTCCAATATATTGTTGTATATTTTATATGAAAATCGAAGAGATGGGTCCTCTCTTATCGCACTGGTTATGAATTGGGTTTGAGTTCCTTTAAATTGTCTGTCTAAAACTGACTAAAACTCCTCGTAGCTTGTAGCAAGATAGAATTCCGTGAGCAAGATTATTGCTGGCAATCGCCGTGTGCTAGACAAAATCTTCGAAATTGACACTTTCGCAGTCGATCGCTGAGCTGACACGTGCTGACAATCGCTTGGCATACAATATCTCTGAGTAACTACATATATAGGAACGCGTAGTTTTAACTATTTTAATTTGTTATTAGGATATTTCTGGTATGATTTGGCAAGCTTATGACATCACTTAGCAATGCCTTAACAGTTGCACTTGTAAGCTCGAATGTGGTTTCACGGCGCCCTCGAATGTCCACGGTTTAATCCTCACTCTTAAATAGAAGCAAACTTCAGTTGTACTTTAGTTGAGTTTGTTCTGCTGTACTGAACCGTTCGCCTGAGAGAAGGCTAAAGAGCTAGAGAACTTGCTCCTAGCAAAGTAACATCTGTTAGTTGTTCCCGTTTATTTTATGCTATTTTATTTTACTTTTCGTTAACTCTATTTTGGTTTCTGCCTTGTGTAATTAGCTTGCTTTGTTGCTGTTGGTTTGCATGTATAACAAATTACTTTGGAAATCCTTGAATCCTCCTCGACCGCCGCATCCTGTTACATAAGGCTAAGGGAACTGCAGAATAATCAAACTTTTTTTCAAAAACATGTGTCCCACACCCTTTCATGGGTAAAATAAAGGAAACCTTATTTTTGGACGGAAAGTCAAGAAGAACACTGCTGGCGGGAACGGAAGCGTTTTGAAAATAACTCGCATCAATGGTCATTAGTAACATTCTGCGTACAGAAAAGCTAGAGAGTAAGATAGCATTTTACGGCAAATTGAAATAAGTGCACGCTGTGAAAGCAACCAGCGTACAAGTTGCTAGGCCGAGTGTGATAATAGTGATTTTAAACTATTGAATAAAGGGGGTAAGTTTCTATGGAAACTGTGGTGCTGCAACGTCCTTCACTTCAAACTGGAGTTATCGGCAAACTACCGAAAATATCTCCTAACTGTATAATAACAATAACAACAGTTTATTAAACTCTCTTGCAGTAACTTACGATAAAAACTTAATGAGATCAATCATGTACATTTCTGTATATATTAAGTACAAATTACATACACCATACTAGTACATGCATTACATTTGTTAAAAATACTTAAAAGTGAAAAGTGCGCTTCGTTCTACAGGTAGTAACGTTTCTGTAAAAGTACAGCTAGGTATCGTCTAGGCGTGTTGGTAGAAGAGGGTGAAGAGGGTGAAGAGGGTGGTTTAAGTCCTTCTGTGACGATAGGTTTTCGCTCGCTGTAACTGGACTTTCGCGGGAACGTACAAACGGGGGAAAATAGCTCGGTAGAGACCACTCGGCTTGCGAGAACGGAAACTCGTCACGATTTCCTGGCACACGGAGATCTACTTCTAGTGAGCTTGTACGGACGCCAAGGAGGAGACAGCGTTTTGGTTCCTCAGTACTTTTATTCGCAGAGCGCTCTAACACACAACATGCTAGAGTCAAACTAAAACTGTAATCATCAAAGCTGTACAAGGTACTTGCTTAAGAACTAACTGGTATGAGTTGCTATTGTTACAAAGATCGCAATATTTGAATAAGGACGCAAAGGAGCGGAAAAAGGTCTCTTTGAAGATAAACGAAAATTACTTAGATATTCCATCTGTTTCTACGACGGAAAGAATCTCAAAATTAAAAAGATGGATGCAATAAACTCGAACCCTAACAAGGTGCAATTCTTGAAATGACTGATAATCAACCCAAAACTGTCAACAATTTTGATCACATGGAAGTCCAATCACGGCGTAAACGACACAAGGACGTAGGGATTCGGGAATTTTATAAGGGCCATATATGTGGCCCTTATATGAACAAATTAAACAAGATCTATATTCTTGTGCAGGAACTGGACCATTTGTTGCCTCTGTCTTATTTTGATAATTTTCGGTACTTTAAATCAGTCTTGATTATAAGCTGCTTTACATTACCACATTTGCTAAGTCATTGAAAAGGGAACCTTTACTCATAAGTGTCTCTTAGGTGTAATTTCTCGAAATGCTTGCACTGTTAGGAAGTATACCGAGTTAGGGAAGAGATCTATTTTAGAAAATGGTTTAATTAATGTTATTTATGTTCTATTCTTTCACATGATGTTTCTAAGTTTGTCTGTTTTATTTTTATTTTTTGGAATGGATTGCCACACCGGCACGGCGTACTCTAGAACAGATCTAACAGAGCTTGTGTAGACCTTAAACATTTTCTCTTGATCAACGCCGGCTTGACGTGGAAAGCAGGTGACGGTTGTTGATAATTGTTGTTGATCATTGTTGTTGATCGATGAGATGTTGCTTTGTCTCTTCGCCCAGTTTGATTAAAATTTATCTTTCAAACCACAGGCGGCCTAAGCTCTAGCTGTGAAATGATCATCTTGCGCAATAACAGTCATGGCGGAATTATAAGAGTTTGTATGGAATATTTATGACCACTCTAAGGAATAAAAAAATATGTCAAATTCTCAATAAAAATACCTCACCTTACTCCCACAGCGTATCGCTTGTTATCTGACTGCATACATAAACGAAAAGAACCCATTTTAGCGAGTTATCCATTTTTAGGTTTACTACATAAGAGAAGCCCTTCCTACAGCTGGAGCTTGGGCCGCGTGCGTATCAACGAGCACTTTTTATTCAACTGATCTATTCTTGTTTTCTCGTCACCATATTTCCACCAATAGCGCTGCTCCATTTTCTGCCTAGAAACAGTCACACAACCCCATTCCTCCGATCGCTCTGACGAAGGGCTAACACTCGAAACGTCAGCTTTTAAACTCTTTGTGGCAAATTTACGTTCTCAACTCAGTTGAATTAAACTTTTGTTAAAAGTCTGCGAACCGTTAAATGAAGTTTCAAGTCCCACAGTTAATCTATAGTCAATGGATTAAGCAATAAATATTAATTACAGTTGATCACAACCGGGTGGTGAAATGAATTCGTCTAACACGTTCGTTATGTGAAAATTAGTTTGTCACCAGATGCAGATGAGAATAAAAAATTCAGAAAAAATACATCTTCAAAGGTTAACCCTTTACACCCCAAGATCAGTATACATATTCTCCATACTGTTATCTAAACATTTCCTACGATGCTTCTACGCCTGAAAAAGAGGTCAATCGAAAAGAAAACACCGAGGGAAAGATTGCCAAAAGGCGACAGATCGCGACAGATTCAAAAGTTAACGCATGCTCAGATATAGATCTTGGCGAAGATCTATTCCTTTACGTACCGTTTAGCGACAAAGAAAATAGAGATCTTTCGAGCAAGATTTATCGCCTTTCATTCGATGGAATTTCCAAAGATTTGCTGGACAGTTAAACATATTTGTGCCCTTCCTAGTGTCTGTTGACAAAAAAAATTCAAAAGGCCAAATTTGAGACAGCAGAAGAAAACATAAAATTGCAAATAGCAGGGAAACTGCCTTTGTACCCCTATTCTTTTCGGCGCTTAAATAATTGGCAGGAAAAATTTCACAAATTGTGAAAATTTTGAGAGATTTCACTGAAGCAAATCGAAGAAAGTCGAAGGCAAAGCCAAATTATCACTGCCGAGCGCTTCCTTTTGAGGAGACTTAGCTTAACGACGAAAGTCATTTTGATAATATTACCACAGCAATAAATGGTACGAAACTTTCTTATCGCCCTTTTGATGGCTTTTAGTGACCTAGAAAAGCGGAAACTTACAAATTTTCTCGAAAAACTGTACGCTGGCGCGCGCGCCAACATTGAAGAAAAACCCTATGGAGCCTCCTCAAGCGCATTTTCTAATTGACGTCTTCCTCGGCGTTGCCGTCTCACAGCTTAAGGTCCCTGGTACTGTCAAGACATCGGGGCGACAGATGCTGTCCCGAGGCCATATGTATTGTAAATATTACGATTTATTCGGCCTCTCAATAAGGGCCTTCGCATTTAGTTAGTTAGGATGTGGGTCATTCCACTTTCGCCGACCAAGCTAAAGTTGTTTCACATGAGGGTAAGCGGTAAAATTTCCTTTTCCTTACCCGCCTCACCTTCTCTCCAGCCTCTTTCCTACCTTAGCTATCACGCCACCTATAACGAAGAAGATATCAACTGGATTGGTTCTAAAAAGGCTGAATACCGTCACCCCCGTAACAATGCAACTTGAGACAAACAAGCACACAAACAAACAAAAATAACAAAAACAGTACAAACTAGACAAACAACAAATCTAAACAAAAAGAGTACATGAGTTAAATTAAGAAAAACTTTTATTTTCTTTGCAGTTTCATCTGGAATTCTTCATCCTATTGAAAAATCAAGTTTTACAATGCAAATGAAACGTTTTTGCTATTTTGAACATTTTCCCATAAGGCCAGTCGTCCTCTGTTTTATCCTCCTGGTGTCATACACCCTTGTTTTCACTCCTTTGATGGACTTCCTGCCGCTTCCTTCTTTGACAAAAACGAACAAAACGAATAAATACGACGATTTGATGGACTTCTCGCCAATTTCTTCTTTAAAAAAAACGAACCAAGCGAATAAATACGATGATTTCCGTCGAGAGTGGGTGCGTCAGCGCCGAGCACGCATGGACTGGCAAGCCATAATCAATCCATGTCATGACAATATGGCCTGGGGAAAAGTGAAGGCTGGCTGGGAAAAACCTAACAGAACCAATGCCTCTACGAGTGAGATAATATTTCAGGACATCAGGCCTGCGGGAGAGTATAGTAAGATTTTCATCCAATCAAAAACGTCGGATAATATAACGAAAGTCATCGGTGGAGACTTTTGGAGGGTCTACGTACGTGGTCCAGCAAACATTGCGGCTACTCTTTTTGATCACAATAATGGAACTTATGAAGCTCTGTTTCTTATCATGGAGCCTGGTATCTATCAGTTGTTAATTTATCTGGATTATAGTCTGTGCGATGGATTCAAGGATCCACCACGTGACTGGTTTATTCAGGGCAATGTTCAAGGGAAAGGTCAGCGGGAGGGTCTTCTAGGCCCTCTGGATGATTACTTGTTCCAGCCCCTTCAGAGCGGAAGGCCTTTGGAGATAAACGTAACAAAGGCAGAGACGAACTTTTCATTAGATGGTTAGTAACTTGGCAGACGGAAAACACAATTTTACCATTAGCCGGTATGTAATAACCTGGCAGCGTTTACCGCGAAAGCGCCGTACAAATAAATCTATCGCTTAGAGCGCTTTTTGATTGAGTGTCGCAAACCGATATCAACGTAATCACAACGGCCAATCAGATGAAAGGCAATATTCATAAGCAGCCAATGAGCGCTCAAAGTGAAAATACACAAACATCTTTAAGCGCGGGAAACACGTTATCAATTTGCGATTGGTTTTGGCTTTAAATCTGATTGGTCGAGAAAGTAGCGCGGACCAATCACATAGCAAAGTAAAAGAAAACCAAAGGAATCTCAGATTGCTTCAACAATGTTGTGTATAAGTTAAATTTCTAATTTTTTTTCTTGCAACTTTGTTCTGTACAGACAAACTTCACTCTCTAGAGTCGTGCTCTTCGACATGTAATAACTTGTGGGATGGATTTGGTCGGTGGAAGAATGACAAATGGCGGCCATACCTTGAAGGTAAGAACTCATCCGTCATTGGCGAAGCCAAATTGGAAGAACAAGCAAATATATTTACTTTGCTGGCACTGGTTTGTAATCAGTTTTGATAGTAAGACCTAGACGCAAAGCGTATTGTAAATAATCAAAGAATTCCTTACTTCATTGAATATTTGCCTTCTTACAGAATCATACAACTGGTCTCTACCAGCAAATTACAGCTCTTCTGGAACTCTTTGGGTGTATGGTGATTCATTAGCGGTTCGTCTGCATCTTTCAGTCAGCTCTCGAGCCCTATGTAGAAAGCTCTACTTAAAATGCAAACACAGTTATAACTGGCTCTATCCAATAATTAACGAGCAACAGAGCAAGACGGAAAACGATAACCTCGACTTCCGTGCTGGGGAGGTTTTGAAAGCCATTCGAAACGTTCTTAATACGAATGAATTACAGCAGCCTTCCAGTGTATTACTTTTAAACCTTGGACTTCACTATACTACCAACATCAATTTTACAACTTTCCAGAAGCTCATCGGAGAAGTAATAAATTTGTTGAAAGAGACACAAGTTAACTTACAAGGCAAAGAAGTTCCAAAGTATAAGGCCAAGATCATTTGGAAATCAACTACAGCTTTGTGTAAGCACAATGGAGCGATACTCAACCCAACAAATAATAGATTCCTTACACCGCAGGTTTGTGCGTATTTAAAGACAATCTCTGTATCGATGACCATAAAATTATAGCAGTCTTAAATTCAAACATTTGATCATCTTATTTTGTCTTATTTTATTTCTATTTCAGCGAGTTCTTCTATTCAGCGCCTACGCTATGTCAGCCATGTGTCAAGCGGGTTTTGACGTCATAGACGTATACCCAATGACAGATTCGTATCCGGGGGGTACTGTGGCAAATGACGTCGTTCACTATCCAAACAAAGTGTTTAATACCTTAGAAACGCTTTTAGAGAATTACAAGGCTAACAGAAATCAAAGAATAGGAACGGATGATAGCAAGAGAAGAATTGGGAGATGTACCAGCTGACGAAAAAAAGACTGAAATGGCAATCTTTAACGTGGCCTTGCACGCAAATAATTTTTGCAAAGAATGGGTTTGAGTTATTTCCAGCTTGTGTCTGACATGGCCAATGCGAGACATGTATTTTCTTTGGCAGAGGTATATTTGGAAATTTGGTTCGGGTTGTTCGGAGTAGGTCGGTTATTCTTTCATTTTGTGGTCCCCTTGCCTAAAGGGAGTCGGTTGATTTGTAAGATTTTAGTTGTCTGGTAGATCTTAAGCCTCCCTTGTTTTTCAAGGTGTAATGAAACAAACTTTTGTTTGGGACACTGGCGTTTTGGTAAGGAATTTTGTCTTAAACTTCAGCAAAGTCAATTCCGGTTTGAGAAGAGCATTGTTGCCAAAAAGTCATCAGACGATTGCAAGAGGTTTGCCTCCCAGAATTCCCTCGACCATACGAAATTTTAATGCGTGCACGTGCTATTTTTAATTCGCACTCGTGTTACAACTTTGCACTCGTGTTACAGGAGAGTACACTTGTTTTCAGCCAGTAAGAAGAGCGTAATTTTTTTCATGTAAATTAGTAGGTCTGAAATCATATGCATTATTTCAAAATAAAACGAGTGCGTAGAACAGGCTTAATCCGCTAACACGAAGTTCAGACACCACTTTCTTACATCCCTTTTGAAATCGCAAAATTCAGTCGCTCAGATGCAGGATTTTTAAGTCTATACAAGTATATTTTATTGATCCAGTAATTGGTTTGTAGAAAGTTGCAAAAATTGTTTTTCATTTTCTTGCAATTTGTTTTTCTTCAAACAAGCCTTAAAATCTGATTGTTTGTCGTATTTTAGCAAAAGTTCCTCATTAGTTGGGAAATAGCTGTGATTTATTTTTAAAAAAATGGTGCTATTCGCCCATTAAGCACGCCAGTGCGAGCCAATCAGATTACAAGGATCAACAATGATTTCAAAATGGGTGTAACAAATAATTTAAACGACTTTGACACAAAACACACATGTGGATGTGGTACATATTTTCATATCATTCTCATGGTTTCTCTTTAAACAAAAAAATATAAATAAATAATAAATAATAATAATAATAATAATAATAATAATAATAATAAAATAAAAGTTAAAACAGAGGTAAGCATGGAGTACTAACAGGGGTAACACTCGCACTTCCTCTGCCGTCTTTGAAATGATTATTCGGGGTTCTCCCCCAATCTTGTAAATCAGAGTTCTCTAGGAAAAAATTTGAATACATTTTCGTTCAAATTCGTCCAAGTCTAACAGACTAACAGATATAATTTATGAATACCCGAGGGCGTTTGAGGACGTTTTGTTTATAGATACCCCTCTGTAATAAACTGTGAAAAGCTAGTCGTCGGTTGTGGTAGTTATCAACGTTCTTTGAATGGCTTTGTGATGCTTTTATGTCACTTATTTAATAAGATGTAACAATCTGACTCCTCTACCTACAGGTGCGATTTTCTCGCTCTTTGAGCGATGATTTTATTAGCAATAATGTCCGCGGCGGAGATATTGTACGTGAAATGAAAGTTTGGCCGAGAAGCAAAGCTTCGAGGGCAAATCTGGAGAAATCTTGTTTTACATTTTGTGATTATTTTTTTATAACATATAAGGTATAAGTTTTTTTTCGGAAGGGTAGTATACGCACGTCGCTGTGCAATTTCGTAGGAAGCCATTTAATTGTCCAGTTAGCGTCAGTGAACTGTAAACGCCAGAGCAATGAAACCAGCCATGCTAAAAAATATTCGCCATCACTGAAATTACAAAACTTTTTGGTAAAGTTAGGTCTATGATTTATTTTTCAAATTCAAGCCAACTACTAAAATCAATGATGTAATGCTCTCAATATGCGTTAGTTGAGTTTATGACGAATACCAGAAACTCAGGAATGAAAAATTTAATGTTAGAGCACGTACGCTGCCTATTGATACATATTAAGCAAGATTTTAACTTTCGAAAGTCCAGATATTGTTCAAATTATTAAACTTTCATTAAAGAAGTTTTCTTCGTTGTGATTGGCTAGCATGCATCGGTTTGGTAGTTATGTTTAATCGCTTGATGGCCGACAGTTCTTAGTTTTCATTAGCGCTAGTTGCTGCTCATTCCAGATTTCACATGACAACATCTCTTCGTAACCTTATTGATTTCATTTTGTGGACCTTTCGTCGCTTTTACGACTGAATCAGTTAGCAGTGATGTGAAGACCCCACTTTCCATAGCAAAACAGTTGTCTCTTTGTTCCAAAACAAAAAGGCACCTTGATGGTTGACCGAGAAGGCCTGGAAGATAGCACGATACATAGTCACGTACCAGTCTCCCAAAAGCAAAGCGGTGGAATCTCGATCATTATCTTTCGTAAGAAACAGTACAAGAATAGTTTTGTTCTAACCAATACATCTTCTAATACCACCCTCCCCGATGTTCACTCGCATATTGTCATTTGTCTTGTATTTCTCCAGCATTGTCTCCATTAGATGGAAAACTCTGTCGGGATAATGAACCTCATCCAGCGTACCCCTTGGATACGAATCGGTCATTGGATAGACATCTATGACGTCAAAACCCGCTTGACACATGGCCGACATGGCGTAGGTGCTGAACAGAAGAACTCGCTGGAAAAAAAAAATGATTGATCGTCCTGCATGGTTGATTAAAAAAAAATTGATGAGGTTCACATCGCTTGTGATCAATTGCCAGGCGGGAGGATTAATCTTTTGCCAATAATCTCGGCACTGACTTGATAATTTTTCTATATGGGATAAGATTTGTGTCCATCATGTTGCTAAATGAAGCCTTAAACAGTGAGTCAGAATTAATTTTTTTTACTACCACTATGTACTTACTTGAGTAGTAAAGAATCTCCAGTTAGTCTTATTTTTTATTTCCACTTTTTCTTTGTGAATAGCTGTCGATGATTTCCAAATAACCTTTGCAGGATACTTTGGAACCCTATTTCCCTGTGAGTCGATTTTCGTTTCCTTCAAGACATTTATAAGGTCTCCAACAAGCCTCTGGAATGTTGTAAAATTGATACTAATCGGAAAATGAATTCCGAGGTTTATAAGTAGAACACTGTCCCTTCGTTGCATCTCGCGCCGCCGCAAAACATCTACAATGGTTCCTATAACCTTTTCAGATGAGAAGTCTAAATCATCGTTCTGTTCTTTACTTAAAGCTTCGCTCATCACAGGGTATATCCAGTTGTAACTCTGCGAACATCTCCAGTAAAGACGGGTACAAAGGCCACGCGACTGAACAGAGTTCCCCAAGCGGACAGCAAGAGAATCCCCGTACACCCAAAGGAAACCAGCCGGCTGGTGCTGTTGTGGCATCGACCAGTCATAGGAATCTATTTTTAAGCGAGAAACAATAATAATAAAAACACACGCATTCCATTGAAATCATCGAACCCCTAAACAGCTAACACGGAACGAAAAATGTATTCTTTATCCATTCCCAATAATTCTGTGGAAATCAGCGCTTACCTGAAGGGGAAGAAGACTGTCAGAGTGCTAGAAATATAATTTTTATTCTGGTCTCAACAAACTTAAAAAACCAATGTGTGATTTAAGAAACTAATATCTGAGTCGAAGGTAGTGTCTGATTTTAGACACTAGTGTCCGATTTGAGACACTCGTGTCCGAGGTTGGAAATCATCAAAACTACAAGAAAGTTCTCGAACGTGGTTGATTATCACCATCCCAAACAGAGCTTTAATAGGACAGTGAACGCCTCATGCTTGTAACGCTGTTGTCGCGCATTTAGCCGAGGTAAATGTTGTTTTTTCTGAAAAAGTATGGCAGATGGCTAGTTTGTTTCTCAACTTGAGTCATGATGTAATTGATTGGTAACAGGACTTCGTGTCGTCCAATTTTGTTTGTAATTATACTCGTAATAAACAAATCGGACTTCCTCTTCGCAGTCACCCGATTTTTTCAATCACTCATATGATTTTAAACCGAGGTGGACTCCACTCAGTCCTACTACTACGATTACCTAATGCCCGGTTTTAGATACTAGTGTCCGATTTTAAATAATAGTGTAGGATTTGACACTTGCGTTTGATTTATGTCTTAAGTTGACTGATTTTGGGCACTAGTGTCCGATACATAAAAAGATAGGTTCTACATGGCGCGAAAGTATGCACGGATATTTGTTCGCGGACATTATCTGTTCTAAAATGCGAAGAGTTTTCCAAGAGCGAAGCCCGAGGAAAACTCAGGAGGGACATTCTGTACATGAAGTTGTCAATTATGGCATTAGGTGGCGTTTTTTATCGTTTTTTTTTATAATACCCCTCATCTGCGGAACTTGTTTTAACTGGTGAACCTGTATTAAGCGGTCACCGAGCCATGGGGGTGAATGACTTAATTTTTTTTTCAAGTTATGACCGAGCTTAGTAAAGCAAAATCAAATAATTTTCGACACACATTTAGTATTTACTCTCTGTATATTGATATCATCTCACTTTTGTCATTTTCTCACCATCAAGAAACGGCCTCCACTCATCATTTTTCCATCGACCAAATCCATCCCATAAGTGACTGCAGGTGTACTTGCAGGAGTCCAGATCCTTCCTGAGGTGTTCTTGAAAGAGGAAAAGAAAAAGAGGTCACCGTTACAACAATTTATTAAAATTTGACTTCTTTATCTCTTTTTCTTGGTGAATTGGGGAGAAAACGGTATCAAACACGTAAGTTAATTAGTGGCTCGATAATTTTGATAACTATGACTATTGTTAATTTTCTGACATTCCTTTGAAGCTAGTTTGCAGTGCATATGTCACGTGCTTTGCGTTTCACTTGAATGCAAAGAAAAACGTTGCTAAAATATCTCGAAAGGAGATCTAAGGTTAGAGTTCATAAATCACTCAAAATAGTCCCCATTCATTCATAGCGGCTTTTCTGGAGATTTCCTCTTTGTAGCTGACTTTTCAGAGGGATGTAAAATGCCATGTTCAAATAAGCATTATCTGAACGACTGGTGACAATACATACCATCCCTTCCCTCCCCTACCGTTTCAATCCAGCAAAATTAACCTGTTATGTAACCAAGTTACTTACTTACCTATCAGAGACATGTTGAGCCGTGATTCTGGTACATTTATAATGATAGGATTCCCATTCTGAAGGGGCTGTACCAAGTAGTCGTCCAGAGGGCCCAGAAGCCCATCTTTCTGATACTTTCCCTGAGCATTCCCTTTTATGAACCAGTCACGCGGTGGGTCCCTGAATCCATCGCATAGACTGTAATCCAGGTAAATTGTCAACTGATAGATACCTGGTTCCATGATAAGAAACAGAGCTTCATAAGTTCCATTATTGTGATCAAAAACAGTCGCCGCAACGCTTGCTGGGCCACGTAGGTAGACCCTCCAAGTATCTCCACCAATCATTTTCGTTCTATTTTCTGAGGTCTTTGATTGAATGAAAATTTTGCTAAACTCCCCCACAGGCTTTATGTCCCAGAATATCACATCACTGGTAACTGCGTTAGTTCTGTTTTGTTTGCCCCAGTGACTCTTTACTTGTCCCCAGGCCATATTGTCAACGCACGGTTGAATCATACTCTGCCAGTCTACGCGTGCGCGACGCTGACGTAACCACTGGTGTCGGAAATCTTGAAATTGACGAGAAACGAACGAATCTTTAGTGTCGCTCTGAATTACCTCTATAAAGTCCAGATCAAAGTTCTCCTTTTCAGAAATTGGAACCGGAGTTGAAATATTTTCCACGTTACGTCCTGAATCCCTTTCAAACGGCAAATCATTTTTCCTGGTATTGAAATAGTCGGTATAGTTTGTTGAATGGCTGCTGTAGTTATCAAATTGGCTTGTGGCACTTCCTCCACCTTTTGAAGCAATTGATAAAACCTTGGATTTTTCAATATTCTTGTCCTTTGACTCTCGCCAATTGTAACTATTCACCATTCCGAAAACACCTGGTCTTAATTTTCGACCCCTCAATTTGTTCTGCAATTTCTCAAATAATTCATTTGGCGAGGATGAAATTTTTTCAGGCGATAATGTCTTTAGCGGTCGAAATGCATTTTCGTGAATGATAGTTGCGGGAATAGGTACACCATAATCTCTCTCGTCTGTTAAGTAATACCGGAAATAGAAATAGACTACCGCGCAAGCGCAAATGTAGCAAACAATAAAGCGCGCGAGACTGGGTCCGAGAGCTCGACTTTGCCTCATGGAGACGTTCTGTATGTCAGCTCGCAGATTTCTCACGGTGAACGTTCCCATCAGAAAGATTCCTCATTTCAACCAGGTCTAATATCCTTGAATAAGATCGAATTTCACAACGGAGGTAAATTTCTGTGAATCTGTGAAGCAAAGTGAAAATTGCAGTGTCAAACTGTGGTCGGCTATAGAGGACCGCTCATTATTTATTGCCCAGCAATAAATAATTAATGATCTCTCAGCCTTGAGAGAATTTGAAAACGCTTACCGGGTGGTAATGAAGGAAAGGCAGTGTTTCACCTTATGCATATAAAGATAAAATAAATACATCTTATCAGACGTTTTGGTGTGTAGTATCGCTGAGTATTACGAGTTGTGCCATATTTTGACGAGCCTGATAAATTATTTATTATGCAATTGCTTATTTTTGTGCTAAGTCTTTCTGTTCATTTCTCATAAGGCGGAAAAAGGAAAGCGGATGGAGAAGCGAATCGCGCGCAGCCGACTTGTCAAACAGGTTTTTTTTACTATATTAAAGTTCACACGGCAACCAGGTGGTCAATCAGAAATGGTTTGATGCTACTCTGGTTTATAGATTTAATGAGCGTAACCGAAGAAGTTACAATTCATAGACCCAACGTTTCGACACTCCCGGTTTCGACACAGGAGTGTCGAAGCGTTGGGTCTATGAATTGTAACTTCTTCGGTTACATTCATTAAATCTGTAAACCAGAGTAGCATCAAACCACGTCAGGTTTTTTTACATTACAAAACAACCAATAACCTTTAAATATTTCAATCCTTTCCAAAATACCCAAATCACCCACTCCCCTTTCTTTTCTATCATCCACTGTGCGTGCTAACGAAACGGTCTCGAAGCTACAAAAATAAAAAAAAATTAGAATATACAAGGACCTGTCTTGTTATCTTCACAGGCCCTAGAATAAACATCCCTATGGCAACATAACTGATAAATTTTCGTTACGAAATGTGTTGAAGCTGTAAAGTGTAAAAGGTAAAAAAGAAAATCTGGAGTCTTAAAATATTAATTACAGGTTGAGAGTAAACAAATCCAGACGCATGCAGTTAGTTCATTGATCGGGTAATTTGAATTGTTATGACTTCAAATTTTGTGAACATACTTGAACCCCCCTATTTAACGAAAAGGTTGTTTCTTAACTAGTATCCAATTCTACATTTTGGATTGCATATAGTTCTAGAGAAAATGATTTACTTTACAGCAGAGGAAGATCCATATATCCGAGATAGCAAAATCTGGAATTAGCTTGTTATGACGTCGCGAATAAGACAAAAAAACAAAAACAAAAATGTTAATACTTCAACCTTTGATAAACATAATCTAGAGCTGTTTTTGTCTTCGACTAATTCTTTCTGATATAATGGAATAATTTTCCAGTTAGCCCCAGTTGCTTTCATTGCCAGATTACAAATGGTTCGAGCCTTCTTCTGCTTTACCACGACCACCGAAAATAAGTCAACATGTATACAAATATTCCTATAGAACACACGGGTAACTTTACTCACCAATCGTTAATTAAATGTAAGTTCTGTAGTCCATAGCATAAACATCTTTAACAAAACATTTTTCGATCCGTCCTTGCGTTGCAAACGAACTCTTGGTAGACAAAAGCTTGCGGGTATTTAATTCTATTAGCCTGCACGTGTCCAGTTCTGCTCTCTAGAATAAACTACCTGCTGGAATGTCGCTTTTTTAGGCAATACCAGCTTCTGAGTGCAAGACTCGTTTCTGGCTGCGGTGCTAATGCTGACTTTACATTCAGTTATCCATTTTGTTGATACTATTAGGAGATCAAGCGGTTATATTTTTGACAAATTTTCTTGGATTTGTGTCAACATCTGAGCAACCACGTACCTACCCCTCCCCTATCCCAGCGACAGTCAAACTGATGACAAGTTAGGGGAGGGGTAGGTGTGCAGTTTCTCAGGTACTGACATCAACCCGTTCTCTTTAGCAGAGAGGGTTGAAAAAAAGAAAATTATGCCCATGTCGAAAATCTTGAATTTCAACCTTCGAACAATACTTCATGAAAACATGTCACGTATGGATTTTGCGGGGAAGACGATTTGACAAGATACCAATCTCGAGCCCAGGGTCATTTTGGCTCCTTGCCAGCGGTATGGTGGTCATTACTTCCAAGGTACATCACTTAACTACAGTGGCCCACAACTGTCGCGGCAAAAGAAAAAACCTCGCAGTAAAAGAAATAAATTTTTTTCGCGAGGTTATTTCTTCAACTTATTCTTTTTGCCGTGGGTCTTTTTTTTTTTTTTTTTTTTTTTTTTTGCCGTGAGGTTTTTTTTTTTTGCCGCGAGTCTTTTTCTTTTGCCGTGAGGTTTTTTCTTTTGCCGCGAGGTTTTTTCTTTTGCCGCGAGGTTTTTTTTTTTGCCGTGAGGTTTTTTCTTTTGCCGTGAGGTTTCTTCTTTTTGCCGTGAGGTTTTTTTCTTTTGTCTGAGTCTTTTTCTTTTGCCGCGTGTTTTTTTCTTTTTGCCGTGACAGCTGTAGGGGTAACCGTAATTACCTCTTACTTAGCGACCATACCGCTGACAAGGAGCCAAGGGGGGGTTCAAATTGTGCGTTTTGCCCGGTGCGCACCTTACACAATTATCCGAGAATGTCACCCCTATTGTAAGTGGGGCAGTGTTCATAAGGGCCATAATCGATATTGGAACATCTATCTTTGGGCCGTTTTTGCGGAAAGATCATGAGCCTGTACATTTTTGTCATGCTAATTACATTCTTATTTCTGACAGAGGTACCTCCCCAAAAGTCTTTTGAGGAGTGAAAGGAAGGGAGGGGGGGGGGAGGGGGAAGGAAAGGAGAGGTAGCAATGCAACTCTTCTCTCCTCCTATTAACTTACATGATGTATGATCTTATTTGTCATAGAATAAATATTACTTAACCCTTTACATCCTAACATCAGTCTCAATATTCTCCATCATCTTCTCTACACATTCCCCATGGTACTGATGAGAATTCATTTGGCAATAAAAGCTTCCTACGTTGGTGGTGATCATTTCCTTAATTCTTATTATCTCAATGAATGACTTAGCTGTATTACTGTAGGGAGAAATTAGATGCTGGTCACTCTAGGGGTTTAAAGGGTTAAGAAACTTTAACATGCTGCCATTTTCTAACAACAACCTCCCGCTACAGCTGAAATATTACACACAGGAGAAAAGCAGAGGATAGCACACAATAGTTGTATTTTGCCTTGCTGTCTTTTGGCTGTTTGACAAAGAAATTTTAAACAAGTTTTTTGGTACAGTCCTTCTTTTGATGATCATGCTTTTGTTCTCTATCTAGTGTCATGAAATTCAGTTCATAGTTGCAAAAATATATAAGTTATTGTTTTTAAAGACCAGCCATAGCATAATGCAATTCCAGAGTTTTCATTAATCAATAAGAGATGGGTTCTGAGCAGAGACGGCCTTGGTCTTTGCCAAAAAAATATTAATTACCTGAAAAAAAAAAAAATAAAAAGAAATGAACAGCAACAGTAACTTTACAGGTTGTGCATTGCAGGATCAATAAATACAATAACAGTGGTACAATCTTAGTGAGAAACAGTAACTACATATGACCATAGCAACTGAACACGAGTTTGAGATCAGTGTCCTTTTTTACTTTCACCACTACCTTCTCTATTGTAGAATATACTGAATATTTATGATACATTCCATGTTTTCAAATTTCTTCATAACTGTGGCAATCTAGTCAACAACAAGCTCCACCATTTCTATTTCCTCAAACTGAGATTTCATTTCAGATACCCAGTTGTCATCCTCTAAATCCTATGAAAGGAAGAAAAACAAACACCATCTGTTACTTTAAACAACTGCAATGAATAGTGGAGAAGAAAACCAGGTAACCTGGAAAGAGTACCACAAGGTTAAGTATTGCCAGTATACCTCTTTTCATTTTGTTCCATACCTGCTGGGTTTGTACCCTTTTTCCAGAAACAAATTTCAAGGACTTTTCCAGGGCTCAGATTGACTTTTCCAGGACTCAAATTGAATTTTCCAAGACTCCAAATTCACCATAAACACTTTTATTCTCACTGAAGATTTCAAAATCAATTCTCCTTACAGTCTCTATACATATCTTAACATGTAAATTCCGAAAACTTTATTGCTTGATTTAGGCAGATTTCCAGGACCTGAAGGTTTTTTTTCCAGAACCTTCCAGTCCAGAAAAGTGTCAAAATAAAATTCCAGGACTTTCCAGGTTCTCCAGGACCCATATAATCCCTGTATCTGGGATACAGAAGCATGAATGCATGTCTGTTAGACTAGACAGTAAATAAATTCACTTCAAGTACTTTTCTTCTTAATCCTCCTACTTTCAATTACTGAAACCTTGTTTCAGCCACTTTATGCAGTGTTCTCTTTCTCAGATGGCAAACACTCAAGTTGACTGCATGTAGTAACTCTTATTAATGCCTAGAATTGCCTGGAATTCTTAAAATTCAACAAGTAAAAGGATTGCTCTACCCTCTTGGAAATTTCTTTCACCTGTCATGCTTAAAATATGGAAGAACACTGCTTATGCATTGCATCTAGATCTAAATGGCTTGATTTTTGAAAATAGAAGTAGAGGCAGTATCATGCTTTTTATTGCAATTGGGCTCAAATTAACTTTTGGCATTTTAATTAAGGAATTTTTTTAATACCACAATGCAAAAATCACTATGCAGTACTTTAACACCTGTGCAGTAAACATGTTGACTAGTAAAAACAAAACTTTCCATCTCTCTTATAATTCTTATAAATAACATATCTTACCAAAATTTTAGTTGTTTTCTTTTTCTTTATCTTCTTGGTGGGTTTTTCAATTGGTACATCAAACACTCTGAGCTCAGCTTTCCTCTTTCTCGGAGAAATAGATGTAACTGATGATGACACAGAAACAGACCCAGGAGACCTAGAAACACACTGAGGTGGCACTTTTGGTTCTCCAACAGGAGAAAAGGTAAGAGGGGAGGCCAAGTCATCAAACCCATAACATGAACTGTACACACTTCTTTCTGGTTGTATGCTTGGTGTGGAGTGTTCTGGGTGAAATAAGTGTGAACAGGATTGCATGAGCTGTTGCTCCAAAGGAATGTTTTGATCCACAATCATGGATGATAAGATCCCCTGTTCAGGTTCTGAATCTGCGTCGTATGGATCAGCATCTTTTTGTTGAAACATGGACCTTGTTTTTCTTGTGTTGCTTGCATTTTCTTTGTCCTGAAGAGTATAAAGGAAAAATCTCAGATTACACAGAGAACAAGAAATTTCTTGAAAGGGTAACACGGTGGCAAATACTGCATATAATTGCTCTAAAACTTCACTTTATTATTTCATAAACCTACTAAATTTGAATTCAAATTAAAACTTATTAAGTTTAATGTGAAAGTTTAACCACTGCCAAGAACTGTAAGATTATAAAAATTCAGATTTCTTTGACATACTAGTCTTGTTCTTGAAAGATGCTGGGCTACTTCATGTGTTTCACTGAGTTTTCCAGATTCTGAAGATTCTGTATCTTCTAAAAGAAAGAAATAGGTGATACCAACATAACCTGGTCACATAAAGAATGGCAAGCACACATACAAAAACTATTTTCTAGCACAATAATGAACTGTTCTGACCACTCAGTTACATGAACATGGCACATGCATTACAGGGCTGTCAATTAGGTTAAAAGTGGAGGGATGCCATTTTTTTATGTCAGATTTCATGCAAGATTGGGAACTATATGAGTTTCAAAAAGTGTCTGATGTTCCATAATGTTCACACAAACATTCTGACAAAATCTGAACCTGGAATCAATTCCCACACCTGATCAAAACTATAACAATATTTTTGAGCATGATTGGTTATCACCAGCCTGATTTGAGCATTATATACAGGAAAAAATTAAGTGCTTCTGATAGGCTAAAAACTCATGTAACACGAGTGCAAATGACAAATAGCGGGTACAATTTCCGCACAGCCCCATCCTACATTATGCATTTAGTTCTTGGATAGAGAAAACAATGACAAAAACAATACTTTGCCATTGGGAAAACACATTTGTTTTACAATAGTATGGGGCTGTGCGGAAATTTTACCACATATAATAACACGATTTCTCTTACAATTTGGTATAATAAGCACTTGTAAATTTTTCGAAGACGACCAATTGCACTTACCCTCTGGGCTTGTGCAATTTTGTTGTCTCTGAAAAATTTACACCAAATAGCACTCGAAATCGTGTTATTACCTAAACTAAAATTAAACCTGTGGGTGAAACGGTTGTTTAACGCTGTACCCTGGCGCCAGCGATTTACAATTGTCAACGTTTTTTAAACTCATCTGTTTTAAGGTTAAAAAAAATATCAAACTCATTTGAATAAGGAAAATTTTGAAGACCAATGAAAAGATTCAGCGAATTCATACACATTGTATTCACTGACCAGTGCAAGATTTTTTGAAGTTGTTTGTAAAGCACACGGTAATATCTCACCTTGTTCGACCTGGTTTTTGGCTTTTAATTTTTTCTTCTTCTTCGTGGGCATCTCCTAATATGATATATAATTAATACTGACGTTAAAACTCGAAAACTCAAGGATTTACCCCATCGCGAAGGCAGTTGTTTACTTTGAATATACAACGCGTACTAAAACTTCGAAAAAACGCGCCTCGCTTCTGACAAGCAATCACTGCGCAAGTAGTGTCCATTCTCTCACGGTCAATAAAAATGTCTTGGTCTGCGATAAAGAGAAAGATCGTATGTCTTCCTCAAAAATTTTATGCGAGTGAAATTCTTCTCTTGGTTATTTCGATAATTTTAGAGATAACGTCTTCTTCGTTCCTGTATACCACAAAGAAGAATTGCGGGGGACAGTGTGTTCTGTTCGCGAAGTTGTTCGAGAGAGCTCGAATTCTCCAAGGTTCATCTCCCAGTTGGTGCTATTTGCCAATGGTTTTCAACTTAGCTGCTACCACAACTTCAGTCTTTGTGCTCAAATTAATAATAAAAGGAAGAAGGTATGGATAAGTAGATTGTATAAATTTTACCGTTGAACTGATATTTTTTAAGCAGTGATACCAACTGACAAATATATAATTTTCAAAGGTGTTTTTAGTTAATTAATATATAGAAATGATTGTTTATTTTGCAATTATTATCTTCATTGTATGTCTTCAGTACATGTAAAAATGTATTATTTTATTCTATCCTACGTTATGGAGATATTTGAAGATGGTTTTCCTCTTTTGTTTTTCAGTTTTTTTGGTTGGTATTAGTTTGGTGTTTGGTGTCAGTGATAGTTTAATTTTTTTTGTTGCTGATATTTAGATGCATGGTTAGATAATTGAATTGTTTTCTGGTTTGAAAAGTTTTTAAAAAAGATCAGCTTTTGGCCCCTAGGCTGCAGCCTTTGATAATTGATATGTAACACACAAGTGTATGAGTATACTTATAGAATATAAAAATATATTTATAGAATGTACAATTATAGATTTAACATAATAATGAGAAATGTGCTTAGAGGTGATAACTTCAAACAAAAAAACAAACAAACAAACAAACAAAAATCACTGATTGCATGAGCCCTATGGGTTTGTGCACTCTTCTTGGTCTTTGAGTATCTTGGTCTTGGTCCTGGTCTTAACAGTATCAAGTATTTGATGTAATATATCAAACACGAGGAAGAGTGTTTCATCCGATATCCAAACACCGAGAAGTGGTTGAGAAAACGAGGCGCAGCTGAGTTTTTTTTAACCAACTTCAAGGTGTTTGGATATCGGATGAAACACCCTTTCGAATGTTTGATATAGCTTCTCAAACCATTAATAATTCTTGGAGAAAATCAAAGCAAAAAGTCACCAGATTTTATGATAATTAAGATCACATATCCAAACCTCCTTCACGGTTGTAATTTCCTTTGTTTTCTCAGCATGAATTATTAATGAGTTTGAGAAATATTATATGAAATCACACTCTAACCATGTGATTACCCATATTTGCTGTATTGTAATAAACATTTTTGGCTCTGAAATACAGTGATTGCTTTATAAAAACTGTTAGTGTCTCATGTTGAACCAAATCTGAGTTTTAAGTAAATGTGCAGTGGTATATGTTTTGGGTATTTTTTTTCCTTTCAGATCTTGTCCAAATTAATATAGCATTTACCCTTTAACTCCCATGAGTGACCAAGACAGAATTTCTCCATACAATATCAGAGCATTATAAACCAGATAAGTCATGAGAATAAAGAAAAATGTCAATTTGTGAGTAATTAGTTGATCCTATACAGAATTCTCTGAACAAACATTATAAGAATTGTGTGATTGACAATAGAAGAATTACAAATTTAAAGGGTAAACAGGGCTGTTTTCTTTTCAGGTCACGCAGCAGCAATTTGAGAGTTCTTGGTCTAGGGTCACTTTCTGCATTTCTTGTTTTGCTATCGTCTTGGATTATTTCTTCTGGATTTCGTGAATTTTGCAAGTCATTTGTCATTAATAAGTAAGTGAACACTTTTTTTGGGTCAAACATAGTGAAGAGGGGGTTCATGCTAGTTATAAAAAATCTAGAAAGTCAAGGAGAGTTGTAGAAAATAAAATTAATAAAAATAAATGAAGAAATGAAACCTTTAGTACACTTTATTACACTATTATGACATAATAATTAATAATAATAGTTATTATTAAGCAACTTCTTGATCATAGTCAAAAGGAACATCAATAAGGTCATGGTAAAAGTCGCTAGTATTATTACATTCAGGGGGATTCCTCACTTCACTAAACACTGTAAATACTTTCTGTTATTAATTTTGTCACTGATCCACACTGAAATGGCCTTTACTGGTAGAAACAACTGTAGGTCTTCAAAAATTGCTTCATTGTGGGTAGAGTTATCTCATAATGCATTGTTACATTTAATTAAGAATTCCTTGTTTTTAGTGTGAAAAAGTTAACAGTAATTTAGAAAAAAGGCCACATTGAGGCTTTATTTTTACTAACTGCTCAACCCTTTAACACTCATGAGTGATCAAGACAGAATTTCTCCTAACAAAATCAATACAATAAAATAACGACCAGATAAGTGATGAGATTAAAGAAAAATATCAATTTGGGGATAATTAGTTGATCCAATACTAAATTCTCTGAACTAACATTAATAAGAATTGTATGGTTGACAGTAAGGAGAACTACAAATATGATCTGGAAGTTAAAGGCTTAAGCAGTGTTCATTACTGCAAAGATCTCTCTCATAGTCAAAGGCTGTATTATAGCTAGAGGGCCCCTTATATTCCTATGTGAAACACAGTCACATAAAAATATTTAGCCTTTTCACACATCGCGATTAATATCAAAAATTATATCACATTCACACAAAATTTTGTAACATTTTACATAAAAATAAAAAACCAAATTCATGAATTAATTTTGTACTTTTTCTGGTCTTGATTAGTCTAAAGTGTCAAATGATGACACAAGGTCTTATCTTATTTGTTCAAGGACCATTAGCTGTCTGGTTTATGACTTTTGTCGATCCAAATGAAGTTCATGTCCTGTCCAACTTAACCGCAAGAAAACGATAGATTTTGCAGAACCATTTAAAAGCTGTTCATTTATCAAAGCAATATGGTTCACGGATCACATTAATTTAGTTCTTCATTCAAGAGTCTTATTTAAATAGAAAAATCAGTTCATGTGGACATGAAAAGATCTGTTATCTTTGATTAATCATTATAAGGAAAAACATCAACAGATGAATCAAGAGAAAAAAAAAACACCCAATCATGCTCCATGTAAAAAGTACAGGGGACCCTCTTGCTAATTTTTTCAGCATCTCTTGAAACCTAGTGTGAAGGAAAAGCAGAAAATGGTAAAAAAATGCATTTTTTACATGCAAGGTTCTTAACCCTAATCAGCCTGTAACATCAGTATGCATATTCTCTGTACTGTTCTCTGTACATTTCCTGAGGTGCTGACAAGGAGAATTAGTTTAACAATCAAAGCTTCTTTACCTGGTGATTATTTCCTTTTTTCTTATAACCTTAATGGGTGTTTCATGGGTGATATTGTATGGAGAAATTAGATGTTAGTCACTCTCAGGGGTATAAGGGTTAAGTTAGGATGGGTGAGAAAAATATCAACACCATGGTGTGGATGAACATTTATTGCTCTCTCTTATTTGAGGGAAGAATGCAAGTTTTGGGCATTGAGAAATACATACTGATTTCCATGCAAATTACTCTTATTGACCATTCATAATTCTTGTAATCATATAGCATGGGTTTAATTTCTAGATTATTTATTTAAAATAACTGTTTCCATGTCATCTTTGCAGATGCATTCATGCACATATAAAGGCAATGGATTGGAAAAATTTCACCCCCAAGTACACTGATGGTGGTGATTTATATTTCATCTTACAATTAGCAGAGGTAAGCATTACATTTTGGTCCTGCCTTCTTAGAGAAGTCTCCTAATTGGTTAGATATCAGGGAATTCTATGATAATCATAGAACTCCCATAGTTAATTTTGATTCGACGGCCTAGTGGTCAGTGTGCTGGACTCCAGGTTGAAAGATCTGGGTTTGAGACCTGGCCAGGTCATAGATTTCTTTCTCGCAATGTGTCTCTCCATCTCGCCATATAGATGGGTTCCTAATAAAATGCTGGTAGGTACCTTATGATGAACTGGTATCCTATTGAAGAGGAAGAAGTACATGTAACACTGTACTTACCTGTGTATTGTGTGCACCTGTACTCCCAATTGCTTCTTGTTTTGGGACTGAGATAAACTCTTACTGGATGAGCCAGTTGGCTAATGAGTACAGACTTTCCCTATGACCATTTCTATTGAGATGTGAAACATATTCATGGGTATAGCATAAGACATATTTACTAGAGACAATACAATGTAGTTGTACAGTTCCAGGGCTTTTTCACATGAGGGTGACCATTGTTAAGTGTCAATTCATAGTTTATCTGATTGGAACCCTAAGAATCAATTTATCTTTATTTTCCAATGTTTTTTGGTGTAAAAATTAGAAGGGGAAAATAAAATAAATTAGGGGTATAGAAAAATAAATATCCAGTTCAAATGGCTTGAATTACAAGCTTCATCAATTTTGATCTAATTTTGATTGTGTTTGTGTTTTTTTTTTTATTAGGCATCTGGCTGGTCTGCCTGTCTACTCCTATGTGTTTTTTGTGTGACTCATGCTCGAAAATTGTTCGCAGGACTCCACACAACTAAAAACTTAAATTTTTATGATGAATAGTCTTTTACAAAGGAGTATATCTCAAAATGAAAAACTCAAGCTAAAACTTCAGAATGTTGTACATGTATCTCCTTTGATAAATGGTAAAAATTATAGGCACCATAGTAACACGTCTTATTTCCTATATTAGGTTAATAATAGAAGGTAGATTATAGTCCAATGCACCCCTGAACAGTTTCATTGTTTATTGTTTTTTTTTTATTTTTGAAGGCTCTTCAAAAATAAAAAAAATGTGATAGTGGATTTAAAAGAAATCTTTAAATATATAACATAACTTATTTCTTCAAAGTTCTAGGTAGCAGCAGAAATGTATCAAATTTAAGAAAATATACTACTTCTTTGAAATCAATCAATTGATTTAATTTTGACTGTGTCTAAACATGTTTTTAAAAAATGTTGTATATTTTCTTAAAGAAAGAAGAGAGAAAGTCATGGTTACTAGCTAGCTAGTCTAGGCTGATTTAACTCCCAAGGTCTCATTAGTAATTCTCCTCACTGCCTGCTTAAAGTTCTTGTGATGTTAGTTTGGAGAATTTGGTATTGGATCAATTTATAATTCCCTAATTGATGTATTTCTTCATTCTCATCACTTGTCAGCATGATATTGTATTGATTTTGTAAGGAGAAATTCTGTCTTGGTCACTTATGGGAGTTAAAGGGTTAGGAGAATTTGCCATTACATTGTTACTCTTAAACTGATATTTTTTGCTCATCTTTAAGCAAAATATGGTGAATTTCACCCATAGCATTTACCAAAGGTTAATAAAGAAATACACCATATAAAAGTTTGGTCAAGTCCTAGTTTGATAGCAGTAAGTTTTCGAGAACTATTGAATGGGACTAGTTTTGCAAGTTTTCGTTTAAGGTTATTTGATCATAGTCAATTATATTCATATTATACGGAACAGATGTTTCGTTGAAACATTTAAAATGAAATTGAAACATGTCAGTGAAAGAAGTAGAGACTCTGCAAAACACGCCTGGTGCGGTGAAGTTGAGAACCCAAGGGAGTTCGGAGCCATTAGAATCCAGTCTCTCTCTTTCGTCCCAATCATTAGTCGATATGGCATACTGGTGAGATCACCAGGAAATTACCTCGTTATTTTCACGGAAATATGGTGTTAAACTTCACAGGATTTTCCAGTCTCAAGTATCAGTTTCATATTAGTGAAGCTATTCTCTTGATCTTGTCGATGCTTTTGGGGATATTTTCTTGTCTGCGGCTGAATGAAGTTACTAAGTTGTGCGCTGGACAATGCATGTTATTCGCGAAGTTGTACGAACGAGCTCGAATTCTACAAGGTTCTTCCCCAGGGTGGTGCTATTTGCCGGCCTGTTTGCACTTAGCAGCAGGGTTATGCTCATTGGTTGTGCTCAGCTTCGTTAGAGGGGGAAGATATAGGTGAGTATGTTGTTCAAATTAACCTTTCGGCAATGATTCGGATCCCTGTGCTTTCGCAAAGATTTCTGGGATGGCTATGGGGCAAACGAAGGAAATATTTGGGCAAAAGGTAGTTTCTACGTCCAAAATAATAATTTTGAAGAGAGATAAGTGCCTTTTTACTGCCTCTTTATCAGAATTAACATAATTTTGAGATGAGGGAAGATCAAGTTTTTGTTTGAACAACCACAAAATGTAATATATGTTGTACTAGCCTGCAGCAAAAATTATGACCGGCATCTTTGATTTTGATTGCAGTGAAAGGCTGGGGGAAAGAAATCCGTACAAAGGGGGTGAGGGACATTTAAAAACAAGGATAGGGGTGGGAGTGGGGGTGTGAATATTCTCTTTGCGTTTCCCCACCCCTTTCCCCCATGGGCAACTCTAACTCCAAATCAAACATGGCCTTTTGAAGAAATGATTACAAGCGTCTCAATGTTGACTCCCCCTAATAAGATGCCTGCACTGCAGGCTAAATACTATACAAGTAAACTTTTCTCCTTGCAAAAGGATTATTGTGAAATTGTTTTAATAGTCTCACCATGTATTACACTTTAGCAACTTGCAATGTTTGCCCTGTGGCGATCCCAAAAGTCTTTGCAAAAACAAACATTACAGGCAACTTATTCATTAGCTTGACACACATTTTTGTGGTTAATTGCACCAGTTATGGGGGATATGGAACCATTTGCCGGGGGGGAGGGGGGGGTCACTGATTGGGGAGACAAAACATATACATAAAGTCAAATCTCAATAACTCAAACCTTCAAAGGAAATTGATAAATGTTTGAGTTATCAGAAGTTGAAAACAAAAACGACTAAAAATAAGGCAAAAGCAGTGTTTACTGTCAGTATTGACTGACATGCTTCGAAGTGGTTTGAGTTGTTGAGGGTAAAAATATATAGAGAATGGCCTGAAGGGAAACAAATTGTTTCATGTTAGCAGGAAGTTTGAGTTAAGCCTCATTCAAACAGTCATGATAATTGATAATAGTTGTTGCAAGTTTCATCTTTCATTCACTACCATCAAGTATCATGTTGAATTTGTACATGTCCTAACTAAATGATAATTGATGATCATGGATGATAGTGCATGAGAGTTTGTGTTCAAACACAAGTGATAGTTGAAAGTATCATAAACTATCATGACCATTTGAACTGGGGATTAAGTTGATTAAAACCTTAATTTTGCCTGATTTTAAGCCCTTCTCTCCTCCTCCTCCCCCCTGCATCTTGAGAGTACCCCAAATGCAATTTAGCTATATTTTTCCCCTCTTCCTGAATTACATACTTATTGTAACTTACAAATGATTACATAGGATATGTGTGTTTAACCAAAAGAAAAGTTGTAAACAAATCAGAGTCCTCGTTCCTCAGGTCACAGAGCAATTGTTCAAGAGTTCTTGGTCTCATATCTGTATCTGCTTTTCTTGCATTTCTATCCTCATGGATTATTTCCTCTGGATTTCGAGAATTTTGCAAGTCCTTTGTCATAAACAGGTTAGTGAACATTCTTGCATGCTATACTTCTATTAGCTCTTTCACTACCAAGATTTGAACTATAGGTTATTTTAACTGAAGGTTACACATTTATTGATACTATTTTCGTTAAAACCAGGTAGCTGCAATCTGAACTAATCATTTTCACCTTGTCCGACTTGCAGATGCAATGCAGAACATTTTAGCTCAATGGATTGGAAAAATTTCACCCCAAAGTATTGTTATTGTTCAAATTCATATAAGTTACTACAAAAAATTGAGGTAGGTTCAAGACTTGAACCAGGTCAAATGTAATCTCTTAGATTCCTTGGTCAGTTATTCTCCTTATAAAGTTATTACTTGTAGTTGGGACTCCAATGGCAGGGGGTCTGCACTACATCCCTTTGAAGTTCTTGTTTCTCATGATTATTGTTATGGCTTGATCATTTGGATACTTGTGACTGACCTTGCAGATACTGCATGTTTCAGATTGTCCAGCTTCTAAGCAGATACATGGTTACCATTGTCAGAAACTATAGCCGGTAGTTTCATTGTTGTTGCATTACGCTAAGAGATGGGAACCTTGTGACAAGGATCTTTGATCATGTTCATATTCCATGTGATTGCAGAAAAATGTTTCTCTAGATTATTGAAAGGGTGATTTGGTAGGATAGGTGTGTTAGTGGAATTTTTGACAACCATGATCATAATCTAAAGGGGACACTCCACAATGCATTTATATCAGGAAATTTTTACATGAAGTAAAAAGCTGCCTTTTGCAGGGACAAAGTAACTGTGTGCAAATTGAAAATTCAAGATATCTTAATTGTTTTTAAGTTTTGTTATTTTCAGTGTGTGTATTTGTCTCTGTGCTAGAGTGGGTGTTTAGGGAAGGGATCAAACTGTTTCATGCTTCCATGTTACAATATATTTTTAAATACTTTGAGTTCTTCTTCCTGGTTTCTTATATACCTGTATTTCTGTTCTTTTCAGGGTTCCAGTTGGTGTGCCTGTTTGTTATTGTCTGTCTTATGTGTGACTCATTTTGTGCGATTGTGGGCTGGGCTGCAAATGACTTCAACACCTTGATAGATGATTCAGTTTAACTGACTTCTTCTGCTGACCTCTCCATGAGGATCATTTTGACACCTGGCTAACTCAGTGCTGACAGATTTTCCCTTGACCCTCTTACTGCCAAGATCCAATTAGTATTTCTCCTTCGTGTTTTTGACATTCTTATGATGTTACATTGTAGTTTGGAGAATTTGATATTGGGTCGAATAATGACTCCCTAATTGATATTTTCTTCTCATCTATTACCTGATTGATACTGTGAGGAGAAATTCTGTCTTGGTCACATTTGGGAGATATAGGGTTAACCCTTTAACTCTCAAAATCTGATTGTTAATTCTCCCCTGTAGCTGCTACACATTTCCTTGTAAATTAGTTATGAGAACTTGGTGCTAGATCAAGACAGTGGCTTCTACCTGATAATTTTGAATATTCTCATCACCTGTTTGCTGAAGAATGTATGGATATTGTAGGGAGAAGTTTTATGTTAATCACTTCTGGGAGTTAAAGGGTTAAGTGTGTTTTGTTGTTACATGTACAAATACCAGCTCAAGAGTGTTATCCTCTAAATCAGAATAGACTTCAACTTAGTTACATAGAATAGAAAAATAACAGAAGGAGTTCATACAGAATTATTCTAGAATTAATAGTGTGATGCATGTAGGCTCTAATGAGACTCTGCCGGTTGAATAGCTCGTGGTTTATGAAAAGAAGGTAATAAATTTCATTGTTTGGTGTCCTGATATTTACCCTTTAACTCCCAGATCAAATTGTAATTCTTCTCACCATCAACCATACAATTCTTATAATGTCAGTTCAGTGAATTTAGTATTGAATCAACTAATTATCACCAAATTGGTATTTTTCTTTATTCTCATCACTTATTTAGTTGATATTGTATTGATACTGTAAGGAGAAATTCTGTCTTGGTCACTCATGGGGGTTAAAGGGTTAAAGGATATTAGTATTTTATTTTATATTGAATAATTTAACAAACATAACTCACAGATGGTTCCTCTCAATAACTTATAATAACTTTTTATTCAATCTCTCTATGCCCATTAAGGCAGTAAATAACCAAAAAAATCGGTCAATGTTGTGATGATGGAAGTGACAAAACCATGCAGTAGGCTACACAGTTTTCCACTTACACTGGAGTGACACCAATTGAAACTAAATAGAAACCAATTTTAAGAATTTAAGCTGCTGTGAAACTTAGAAACAGTATAGATATATGTACCATAAAGTCAATATCAAGAATGTTAATTAAGCTATAGAACACACTTTCTGTTGTCAACTCCAGTTCCCAACATCCCGCCACAGTTGTAGGCTGGTTAACTGATAGAAAGTTTTGTCTAATGCTCTTTTATAAAATAACTTTGGGTTAACCATTACGACAAAGGGTAATATCTCGGTTATTTTATTATGTTTTTCAAGTCTTACAGTATAAAGCCTTTTATGCTATGGAATATTAATTTTTTTGATATTTGCTATCTGATGTTCCTTAAGATGATGACTCTGGACACTGTGGGAGACAGTTTACATTATTTCATCATTATTTATTTCAAATGAAAAACTTCTCATTTGGTTTTCTGAAGCTATAATTTTCTGTATTATTAATGTAGCGAAACATTTCTGAATATTTGCAAACTAAGAAGTACTAATTTAAAGATATCTTGATCCCCTGTCACTTGTAACCTCATAAAATGGAATTTCTTGGATGGGTGATGAGTATGCCATTCTCTCATCAGTAATGTAATACTCAGAAGCTTTCATCTCAAACAAGCTTTTCTTGAAATTTCTACCAGAGAACACTGTTATGATAAACCAAATCCCTAAAGCAGAATATGATGCAACCTGGTGTAAAAAAAAATGAAAACGCATGTATTAAAGTTGTTATATTGAGACTTTTTGTCAAATAGCTGAAATTTTTTCCCCAAATGTTCACCCTTTCATTGTTTACTTTGAGGTCACATGACATTTAACAACAAAACTATTTTCAGGCAGGTCTCTGAATAACTGATATTGCAAAATTTTTCTTAGTCAGTGGCATGGGTACCTGTGCTGTGTTACCTGTGAACATTGACTGAGGGTCCCAATGGGGTTAACCGTTAGCCATAAAACGGCCAAAATATTTAGCCTTTAGATGTAAAAATTGACAAATTTTAACCGTTAGTCGTAAACAAAGTTAACCGTAAAAAATATCTCATGTGGAAACAATGGAAAGGTGTTAACCGTTAGCCAGAAATTGGCCAAAATTTTAACAGATAGCCATAAAAGCCATCACCCCATTGAGATCCTCTTGACTGTTGCAGGTGAACAAAACATGACCAAAATTGGTGTGAAATGGTGTTAAACTAAGGTTGACCGCCATGTAAGTTCTCCTCACAGCAATATTGCTCATTAGCATCTTCTATCAACATTGTGAGAATATAGAAAATGATTGCCAATCCAAGAAGCTTTGATTAAAAGACAATTTCTCCTTGTCAGTACCAAAAGAAGTGTATAGAAGGAGTATAGAGAATATGGATATTGATGTTAGGGTGTAAAGGGTTAATTGAAATTTAAGTAATGTATTCCTTGTGCTGTATTACAAATCACTTGATGACTAGGCTCTCAAAAAAATAATTTTATTCCCCTAAAGATTTCAATATTTCCTGAGGCTTTGCCTTGGGAAACACTGAGATTCTCAGGAAACAAAATTAACCAATTTTTCTTAAGAGATCTGTCATTGAATGATTTGCCATACAGCACAAGAAAGACCTCATAAAAATTATTGACTAGCTGTTCAATGTTCAATGTTAACATTCATTTGAAATTTTTATTCAATGACATCACAAACCTTAGCCTACATTTAGCTGTGCCCTTCCCCTCCCAAGGTAAAATGAAGTGGGGGGGGGGGAGGTATGGCTATATGTAGGCTACACAAACCTCTGCTATAAACAGGTGGGTGTAAAAGCTTCTGCCATCAATGCCAACTGGTCTGTAAACAGTCCAATCCCACCTTTCTGCATTTTTGCACCTGTAGATGACATAAGCTTCACATGTGAATAGTCAGAGATTGTCATTATTTCAATAGCTATGATTTAGATTAAGGAGGTTTATTCAAGGGTATTATTGGGAGGAGAATTTAGGTGCTGGTCACTCCTGGGTGCTAAAGGGTCAAACCCTCAAATCAGGAAGAACAGTAATTATAAAAATAAAAATCAACAAACTCAGCTTGCATGTGATACAAATTTCCTGAAATAGAAATTTAACATTTGCATTAAATAAATGTAAACAATGGCAAGCAGGTGGTTTTGAAGGCTTGCAGAGCTTTCTGTTCCATAAGAACAATGCTGCTTGTGAGAAAGACTTCCAATGAAACATACCTTTCAATGTTTCCATTGTTGGTTACAGAGTTACACCATTTGTTGAAGCCAGTGATGATAAATATAGTACACACCAAGCAGTTGATCCATGCAATTGCTGCTAAAATGGTGGCCATGAATTTGAAGTAAACTACGCTAGAAATGGTGGAATGTTGAAGGAAATATGAGTAGGGCTGAAGACAAAAACTTAAAATTAAATTTAAAAATTGATTCTTTGTTGAAGTGTCAATGTTGACAGGTGGTGACAAATACACACATGTACATGTGAAACCTCTCTAATGTGAGCTTTAAAAAGCGGAATTTCAAACTTAAGAAGAACAAATTTTTCCTGAAAACTGGACATCTAAAGGTTGATGGTAGGGTTTAGGAAGCAGTATGTTTAACTTTTTTTATCTTTTACTTTTTAACAAATCGATTCGAATTCTATGGCGCTGTGCGTCCATTTTTTACTTTTTTAATTAGTAAATCAGATTTTGACGTCTCCTGTGATGTACAACTGTTCAGACCCGCGGTAACATGGAATCTATACTAGAGAGGGAATAACTAATCTGGGAGATAAAAAATTGGAAATAAAAATATGCATGATAGAGTTGAATATATTTAAAAATAATAAATAAGATTTCGGCACTTCGATCGTCTTAATAAACTCGCCATCAATTTTATTTAATCAACACCTTACCTCCAATTGTAGGTGTGTACACTACAGCAGCATTGGCCAAATCCGAGCAAAATCGCTAAGATGGCGTTTGTCAAAGAGGAGTAAAATGTAAAATTACAGTACGCTTGACTTCCCATGAATATGTTGTTGGTTAGAATATCCAGTTTTCCAAAAAGTAAACAGTCACCATTGAAATTAGTTTCGTTGAGTTTAAGAAGAACTGAAATGCAACATCCAGCGGCGAGGGCTACGATGTAGAAGAAAATCTCAAATCGCTCCGCTCGCTGCATATTTTGTGAAAGCAAAATATACACTTTTTCTCGATGTAAACATTGAATTACTAGGATTAGGAGATATCAGTATGCTAAGTATTCCAATAATTTGCTCCGTTTATCTTCGGCTACCTTCGGAAAGTTTCGGGAAAGGTTCGTTGCACTATTTATTGACCAGTTTCTCTCACTCGTTTGTTGCAGCAAACCCTGGCTAACATGGCGGCCGTTCAGGAAGGGCTGGTGGGTAACGAGGTTGAATCCAGCGAATATCCTTTTCATCCTGTAGGTTGGTATCTCATGTTCTCTTTCATTGTGAAGCTTTATTTCCATTCATTCGTCAGGCGACAACTTGCGTTTGAGAATGGAGACAAAAAGGTAGTAGCGAGTAAATGTTACGTGCAACATGCTTCTGACTCTCTCTCTCTCTTATCTTTCTTCGATGGAATTGAAATGCAGCGGTGAAGGACAACGGTGAAAATACGGCAGAGGGTGATAATGATGAAAACATAACTGAAACGAAGGCAAATGGTTCCATTGGTGACGAAGATTCTACAAATGTCCCAGTACTGGAAGGAGAAGTTGTCAACGAACAAGAATTGAAGTACTGGAAGGCTGTGAAGGAAAACCCCGCGGATTTTACAAGTTGGACGTATCTCTTGCAGTTTGTCGAACAAGAGGTATTTAATAAACCTAACCTATCAGTTTTCGTTGAACACTTTCACGTGAAGTCTTTGTCAGCTGAACTTCATTTGCTCTGAATGTTATCATTAAAGTTGGTCGATGATTCTCTTTGTTTAGGATAATTCTAGCCTTTACTTGGAAAAAACCATGCAAGTCATCGTTTGTAGAACCCACAGTTTGAGGAGGTTTATATTTCTTGTTGCTTTTTCAGCCTGCACTTTGCTTTCACAACCTTTTTGAACTTGGTGTGCTCTAATTTAGTCTTTCTCTGTGTATACTTTCCTTGTATGTAGAACAAACTGTCATCTGCTAGGCAAGCATTCGACGCATTTTTTAAACGTTACCCTTATTGTTATGGGTACTGGAAGAAATATGCTGACCTGGAAAGGAAAAATGGAAACAATGACAGAGCTAGAGAGGTATGTGTTGGTGATGTAGTAAAACCAAGTTGAATTTGCTCTACAGAGTTGGACATTTAACTACTGATAGTTACAGCAAACAAATGTGTTGAAAGGATTTACTTCTGCAAGTCAACATTAGTACAAGTCTGAACAGTCCATTTGACTTGATATATATTAGCATTGATTCTCACCAGGACATTACAATGCCAGTAACGACCAAATTTACACATGAAACCCTCCAAAATCAAGTAACTTAAATAGACTTAATTTTTTTTTGTTTGCTTCAGGTATTTGAGGGTGCTATTTCAGCCATTCCTCTCAGTGTGGATTTGTGGGTACATTACCTCAACTTTGTTTCTCAAAGTACCAAAGGTCAGATTGATGGCCCAGAGGTCATGCGCAGGTAACTTTCATTAATGAACCTGAATACTGACATTGCTATCTGTTCTCCAGGAAAACTGATCAGCAAAGGCTTGAGGAGAGCATTAACCTTTCCACTGGGGATAATCTGACCACTGTTGATGAGTGTGTTTAAAACTTTGAGAGTTCTGTTTTTGAATTTCTGATTTGTTCAATTTTTGGCAGTTCATCTAATCCCGATGATTTGTTGTGCCATGTATTTCTTATTAGTAACAGTTAGGTTGGTGTTGATAAACAGTTTTGAGTGGGCATCGCAACCCACGCCAGCCTCTTCCGGGTCAATTGGTATTGGGTTCTTTACTGATGGACAAGGTATTTTAATGCTTCAATCCATTCAGTCCTGATTTAAGTCCATTTTGCATCAAGTAGTCAGTTTATGCCTTTTTGTTAGACTTATCTTTTACTAAGTTATTTTTTGCTTCTCTCTTTGGTTTCTTTTTTGCAGTTTATTTGAAAGAGCAGTGTCATCGGCTGGAGAAGAGTTCCGTGCAGACAAACTTTGGGATGCTTACATTGACTGGGAGAAAAATCAAGGCCAACTGCAAAGAGTAACAGCTTTATATGACAGAGTCTTTTATGTTCCTACCCAGAATTACAGCCAGAACTTTGAAAAGTAAGCATTTTGGTAATTTTGAAAAAATACAATGTACATGTGCTGCTGAGTTGTCAAAGAGTATACCAAGCTGAACTGCGTGGTATTTTAAATCCACTATACTTAAGTTAGAACTATTAGATGTTCACATCTACCAAGTTTGGCTGTGGTCAGTATGGTTGTATCAAACTAATTTTAAATTTTCCCGGCTTGTAGCCAAGGAGATGCGAGGCATTTTGGAGAGAATTGCAAAGCAGATTGAGAGAGTGAAAACATTAAGAAAATCAATAAAGAAAAGAAAAAATACCTAATTTTTATCCTTTTCTTCAGGTTTAAACAACACATAAACTCCAACCCTATTGCTGCGGTATTGTGCACCGAGGAACTTCTTAAGCTGAGGGCAGAGGTTGCAGCTGCTCCCCCTGGCCTGTCATCAGCCGAGGTGGAACCTCTTATAAGTGTAACCTCTTCCTCAGCTAATCCACCAGGTATAGGAAGTGTATATGGAGTCTGCATAATTGGTTATGTCTACTTTTATTGTATGATGCTCCTCAATACTTGTGTTGTATAAAGCCCTTCAATTTTGTCAGTGCTTTCAGATTTGCCATCTTGGTGAAGTGCTTGCTGACATTAGAATTCATGAGGAATGAGACATTAGAATGTGTTCAGTTTTTGCTTTCATGATAAATGATTTTCAAACTACATTAAATGTTCCAAAAGTCCCAAGCATTCTCAGAATAGTTTATTTGTATTTGATCTCTGAAGGTGTTGATGGAGATGCTGATGCTGATGAAGTAGCTCCTGGAACTGAAAACCTTACCATTCCTGGAGCTGAAAGCTCTGTCACTTCCCAGGTATTAGTTTCTTTCAACTTCCAAATAATGTGCATTATGAAGGCATTACTTTAGATTGGTTGGTAAATGTAGAAATGATAGTAACAACTGCAGTTATAAAAAGCTGTCAAGAGGATAGAAGGTTTAGTTGGGCTTGTTTTGAATGTGAGGCTTAAAATGTGTGGTAGCTTGTTTTTATTTCATTTGTGAATGTTTGTTTTACACATTCTTTTCCCTCAGGATGATGCTGAAACTATTGCAATCAGAGAAAAAGTAATTGCAGCAAGACAAAAAGTATTTACTGCATTAGGAGAAGAAGTGAGAAAGCGCTGGACATTTGAGGAGGCCATAAAGAGACCATATTTCCATGTCAAACCACTTGAACGTGTCCAGCTAAAGAACTGGAGAGAATATCTGGATTTTGAAATTGGCAATGGTGATCATAGAAGGGTTGTGATTCTCTTTGAACGTTGTGTAATTGCATGTGCATTGTATGAGGACTTTTGGCAAAGATTTGCTAGTTACATGGAAGCACATGATGTGGAAGCATGCCGCCATGTATATGAGAGAGCATGCACAATACACCTTCCAAGGAAACCTTCCATTCATTTAGCATGGGCTGCTTTTGAAGAACAGCAAGGTGAGTCCACTTTTTTCATGTCAGGATGTCCAGTTAGAATTCTAGCAGGCCAATTTATATCTCATCTTGGTATGGCATGTGTATATTGAACCCTGAAGAAATAATTTAGTATAAGAATCTCATGGTGTGATCAAAACTGCTCAAGAAAGCTACAGATACTTGGAGTCCTATCTAATTTCAAGTCCAAAATTTTCAATCTTTCTTTTCTTCGTGTGTGCTATATTGCATATGAATTGAGACATCTTTAACAGATCATTTTACCATCAATCTTTAAATCTACCTATTATGCATTATACAAGGAAGATTAAAAAGTGCCTCAATTAATTTTTTTGCAAAGTTATGATATTAGTCTCGTATAGGCAAAGGGATGGTTGGTACTAATTTATCATCTCTTTTTTTAAGGAAATGCTGCCAAGGCATCAGAGATTTTGGCTGAGTTAGACAAGGGTGTTCCTGGTATAATAATGGTGAAGCTAAAGAGAGTAAACCTGGAAAGACGAAAGGGCAACTTTGAAGTTACTTGTACTCTCTATGAAGAGACCATGAATGAGACTAGTGACCAGGAGTTAGCAACATTTTTTGCTATTAGATACTCGCGATTTTTAGCAAAGGTAAGAGAAGAATTCTGTTTTTGGCCAACTTGTGTTTAGAAGGGTTCTTTTTAACCCTCTAACCTCACAAAGAGTAATAACATGCAACTCTTTCTTGCAATGTTAAATGTTATTAGGATAGAAAAAAATCTTTTCCAGAAATTCTTTTGAATGCTATACATTATTCTTGTTCCATATGGGTTTAAAATTTTGAAATGTTTTTTGAATAACCCTTTAACCCTTTGATTCAAGATTATAGTATCTAGGCAGATCATTGGTTTAAAAATTTGAAACGTTTTTCTATAGTTGTTCATCTTAACCCTTTAAACCCTAAGAGTGACTTGCATCTTATTTCTCCATACAATGTGACCCCTTAATTATATATTAAGGTTATGAGGATGACTAAAATCATACCCCACAAAAGAAACTTTTGATCAGTGGACAATTTCTCCTTGTCAGCACCTTAGGAAATATGTAAAGGGTTAATGGTTTGCCTGTGATCAGTAGTTCAAAATCTAATGATGAATGCAAATTTAAAAAGGTTTACATCACCTATAGACCTTGACTTAATCTGGTATTATGCAATGTAGATGAGATATTTGGACTGAGTATTGTTGCTGGAATTGAGTTTCATACCCTCTTCAATTAGTGTTGCTTGTCTTTGTTCTTGTGTCTGCTCCCCTGAGTGTTCTCTTTTTTTCCTCATTAGGTCATGGGTAATGTGGAGAAAGCAAGAGAGGTCTTGAAAATTGCCCTTGAAAAAGATAAGGTATTTACAAACACTCTATGTATCATTTCAAGAAGGATGAAAAGAGTGGATGAAAATCAATCTGTACCAGTTATTTATTCTCTTGACACTCTAATTTTTTGTCATATCAGTGTTGGTGTGGCATTAAGGACACTTTGGACATTTCCACAATAGCATTAAATAAAGTGCCTTTAATGAAGTCAAATCATTTATCTGTTGCACTTTTTTTATATAACATTGAATTTTTTTCCTCTCTAGGATAACAAGAGGTTGTATCTTCAGCTTTTGGATGTAGAGCTTTCTTCATTTCCATTGAAAGAAGAAAAGGTTCTAGAAGTCTTTGATTTGGTGAGAGACAGTGAGCTGAACACAGAAGTCAAACAAGGTTTCTCTCAAAGACAAGTTGAATTTCTTGAAGATTTCAGTGCTGACATTACCAAAATAGTGGCTGCTCAGGAAAATCATGCTAGACTTTATAAAGGAAAATCTTCCTTGATCCCATTGACTGGCAGTAAAAGGTCACAAGAGGGAGATGGGTAAGAAGTAATTGCGTTAAAGAAATGCATGTCAAAAGTTTTCAAGTGAGATATCACAACAGAGAGATGTGAGAATTTCTTTAAAACAAGAACTGTCACTGAAATGTTATAGTACAGGCTGCAAGATAATGAAAGCTAACTTAATGGTAGAGGAGTGGGGCAACCTTTAGCTAGTGGATGCGTCAATTCCATGACAATTCACTCGTTCCCTGTTGCCAACAGAAAATGCACTGTGCAAAATTTCATTTCTTTGTTGTTACTTGCAAGGGAATCCTATGCTATCTGCGATAAGTATCTTCTTAATGGTAAAAAATTGTCAAAAGTGAAATTCTATTGTATTCCTTAATGTTGTGTATATTACTTTATTCAGTGTAAACTGTGGTGCACTTCAGAATTTTGTTAAAAGGTCTTTTATCCTTTCTAGTAGTTCAGACATCAAATCCAAAGTATCAAAAACAGAAGATGGAATAGTGGATAGTAGTCAACATGCTACCAGCACTGCACTGACAGGAGCAGAAACATACGATGCGTCATATCCATCAGCAGCAGCCTACTCTGCTGCGGCATCTGCTTATAACTATTCCACACCCTTACAGAGCCAGTGGGCAGCCTACTCAGCTGCACAGCCGGTAGGTTGTCAATAAGTTGGAGGTGAACTGGTGGCAACTTTGCTAGTGAACTGTCTGATCTATGATTGTTTGCTCGTTCCCTGTTGCCAATAGCACATGCAATTGTACCATTCTGTTTTGAGGAAATCTGTTCTTGTTATGGGCAGATATGAAGCAGATGTACTGACAGTTGATCTTGCATCAAATATTTTGTTTTGTTATTCTTTTGGTAATGCATTTCACAAGACAATTTAATTTGATTTTAAAACAGGTAGCATCAATTCACGGACAGCCACTTATCAAATCCTGGCTGAAAGCCTGTGTCCTTCCCTTCATGGTTTTCACATCTTTGCAAAAGCTCTTTACTTCCTAAATCTTTGCTGCCCTCAGGAACTTGTATGGTTACACTGAGCTTAGGAAAAAAAAACTTTAATGATTTAAGGGTGAATTTAAAACATTGTTTCTCTATCTTTCAGAATGCATACAGCTATAGTCAGTGGTATCAGCAGTATGGGGCTGCATATGGACATCCTCACCAAACTGCCACACAGTAGTGTTTTTATTTTGTTTTATACACAGACCTAAGTCAAAAATGATGCATGTACATAGTTAATGACAGACATAGTGCTCTGCGTAGTCTCAAATGAGGACTTTTACTTCTTGATAAATAATGTAAAGTGCATGTCAGATGAGCAATTAAAAGGTACTGTTTGTCATAAAGCAGCTTATTGTGTAGGGCTCCTTGACGACCATCTGCAGCTGTTGTCAAATTAAGCCATGTGAACTTGTGAAATGTTGAAAATTTAGTGCTGGTAGTTTTTCCTTAGTTATGTGTTCCAGTGCAATTATTTCAATTTCAATTATTTAAAAAACTCAACCAAAATTAATGTACAACAAATAGACAGCCACTGATGCATGGTAGCATTTTTATCATGGTTACCCTGAGGATAAGCCAAAAAATATAAACATAAGATTTCCTTGTAACATACATTGTTTGAAATAAAAGTATCTTCTGTCAAAGAAACTGTATGATTTATTTTAAGCATTCAGAACTTAAAAAAAGTCAAAAATTTTTTGGAAAGCTTTCATGGTTTAAGATGCTAAACAATCCCCTATACTTATATCAAGTAGAATTTTTTGCAGTGCAGGTGAAGAAAAAGAGACTTGACACTAGGAGATTCAGGAAGATAGAGACAGAGGTTGAAGGTCTCGATGTCACGTGTTGTGAAACTAGGTGCATAAAATGTTAAATGTCATAAAAGGAAACCGCAACAATTTATTGCATAGATTTTAAATTTTTTTCATGATACACTTTTCACAGAATTTTTTTTACCTCTAAAGAGAGTGTTTGGAACCCCAGTACTGTGGGTTAAATCATTAACTCAACTAAAGGAGATAATGACAAGCCATTGTTTAAGATAGTTTTACATGCACAGGAATCCTTTACATTAAAAAACGAAAAGAAAATTCATTCTAGCTATTATATTTAGTTTAGTTGGCAAGGGTGCCCTCTAGTTGCAACTCTTATTTTGAGAATATCAATTGCTTCACTCTGTGTCTCACTTTGTACAAAATGTTGCTGAGGTGTTTTCACTGGCTACAGAAATCCTAGTGAGGCTTGCACACTTGTCAAAAGAACTGGCAACTGGCTTCATCTCTGGGGAATAAAGGCCACTTCATGCAAAGGTTTGGAAAAAATGACAAATGCAGGCACTGTTGTTTGCTAGGCCCTTTCTGTGTGCTTTGTATCATTTTGACTCTGATTACCAGAAGTTATTAACACGAAACTTCTCCCTGTAATATCCCATGTTATTCAACAAACAGGTAATGAGAATATCCTAACTTATCAGGTGGAAGCTGCTATCTTGACCTAGCACCCAGTTCTCATAACTAATTTATAAGGAAATGTGTAGCAGCTGGAGTGGAGAATTAACAATCAGATCTTGGGAGTTGAAGAGTTAACAACTCTATCAATGACTACATATTAACTGTAGTATACTGTTACAGTAATTTTTACAAGAAAAACAAAAATGTGCACCTCCCACTTATCAGGAGTGACAATGGACACAGACATAACTACTAAATACAATTTAAAGTTAATTCTGATCTATTAACTGTCGATATCAAAATCAAGGATTCTCTTTGATGCTACAAGATTGCCAAAAGTTTAGTGATCTTCCGCACCATTCACATCTTCACTGGCCTGTTTCCAAATCATGTGAACATAATATGCTGGGCATTCAACTTGTCCAAGAGGTTCAAAGTCGCCAAACACTTCATGTCTTGTGGCTTCACCAAAGACGCTTTTCAGGAGGTTGGTAAATGTGCTCAGGCGCAAGGGGCAGTAGGAAAGACGGAACTTGCTGTAGTTACAGAATAGAAAAAATGAAAAATTGAGTGTGATGAAAACTGAAGGACAAGAATGGAAATCCCAAATCTATTTGGTGTGATTAGAAAAAGACCTCTAATTCTGCCATATTTAAATAAAATGTTATGTTGGAAATATCCCAGTTCACTTTTGCAAATCATACTTGAATGAGAGATTGAAAAAGGATGAGAATTCACTATAACAGAAGCCTGAAAAGGATTTAGCAAATAAATGCCAAAACTTGAATTTTGTGGTCCCTGAGTGTGGGGTTTTATTATATAGAAAATCTAGGACAAATATTAGATAAGTGTAACAGTCTGGCTGTTTCATATTGGACCAAGGCATTATGAAACCATACTGAAGATAACAAATGATTAGTTGGGCATGTAAGACCTCTATTGCCTTGCCAACAAAGTCAGTGGGGTGATAAATAAGTAATAGATCCCTACAACTTTATCACCACTGTATTTCCACTTTAACGTCAAATGACTTGAAATCAACTGTCTGTGAAGATACCTGACATCTCCTTCAGTTGATTTCCTTTTCTTCACTGCTGGTTCTTCTCCCTCTTCTGTAAAATCATCTGAAGCCTTTGAAGGGTCAACGGTGTAGTCCAATGTTATCATACTCTCTTTGCCATCCACAAATAGGACTGAAGTCTTGATACTCTCAATACAGTCACTCTGTCAATAAAATTAAAGTAGTTAGGTTTGAGCTTGAGTTAAGTTTAACACATAAATACTTTCAACTGCCTGGAATGATCTGTATTAGAATTCTCTCCACAATAGCTCTTGTGTGCGAGGATGTCACTTCCTGAAAATTAACCCCAGAGCCTCATTTGCACTAAAATCTACACTAAAATTACCACTTTTTTATATCTTTACACGAGAGTTAAAATTTACCACTCCACACCTTGAAAGGAAGGCTTGGGGCTGTAATTTGGTTGTGCACCATAAATATCCATAAAGCCTTTCTTAATACACTCTCAAACAAAATTATGCACTTAGAGGATAAAATAAATGGATAAATTACCAAATTCCTGAGTAACCAAAAGGGAAACAAATTATATTTGTTATCAGGTGGGAGAATTACCTGTGACATCTTCTTGTTATTAGAGCTGTGAGGCTTAGGGTTTGAGAAAGCTTCAACAAATGCTCAATATATGATAGTTAAATAGACTTCATTGGCTCAAATTATCTGAGTTAAAGGTGTGACCTTATTGGCTGGAAATGCTAAATAATGAGAAAAAAAAACTACTGTACATTTTGAATTTAGTAACTTACATTGTAATACAAGTTTCGCTGAGGGGCTTTGCCTGTATCAAGAATAGCATCATAATTACGGTGATCGATGAACAAGACCCCGCCAGGCTTTAACATATCTTGGAAGTTTTGAATTGCCAGCTTCTGATTGGTTAAGTCTCCTTGGAAGTCTGGCAAGTGAGCAAATGAATTGCCAAGACAGATGACTGCATCAAACCCTTGTGGAGGGACATCAATGTTGGCATCTTTTAAAGAAAGCCAGTTGCCTTCTTCAATTTCTGAAATTAAATGACAAGAAATTTTAAATAATTTAAGAGACCATTGGTGCACAAATGCTTGTGTACCATTTTGGTCACTGATTATTCCTTACCCCACTCATCAAAGGCTTCTTCCTTTCGACGCTGCCACCTTATCTTCCATGCTTGTTTCAACATTTTATCACTGGCATCTGTGCTTGTCACTTTAAAGTTGTTTTCAAGCAGCATAATGGAGTCCACTCTAAGAGAAATAAAGATGCTCTGGTGCATTACTTCATGCAACAAGAAAAAATAACAATGTACCCATGGACTTCTCAATGCACATGAACAAACATTTATGGCCCTAATAAGAGTGATAACCTAATTGCCAGCTACTGATCCTTGGTAATGGATGTGTTTACAAAGATCACAAAGAACATGCTAAGTAAGAATTCCAATAGCTTTTCCTTCAGATACCCTTTACACAATTATAAGGTACTTGATAAAGTGACTGTCAGCTCAGAAATTAATTTTCACTTCCCATCTAAGTATCTGATTGCCAGCAATGTTACTTGCTCGTTACTTTTACAATCCCAGCAAAAGCCTCAAGGGATTTGTGGTGTACAATCTCTCTCACTTCTTCTCCAACACTCACACAAACAGGAAGTAAATTTTGATTGTAGTGCATAGGCACAGCAGTGGTCAGATTAACTCGAGTAACATTACCTCAACACTGCGGAATCCTTCCTTTTTTATCAAGCTCTACAGCTAGAAAGGTGAAGGAAGGGCAACCTTTTTCTGATAAATGACAACTGCATGCATCCTGCAGTTCCCTGAGTTTTTAGTAGCATGACCTCAAGTGTGTGCGGAGTGTCTTATCTGTAAATAAATATTAGGACCAACAGAAGACTTAAAAAAGAGTTTGTGTAGTAAGCAAAATTTAGTGAGATAAATTTGAAAGCGGTGCAACCTCTGGTAACAAAGATGATGCTATTCAGTTATTTAACCCCCCAAGAGTTACTAGCACCTAATTTCTCCTATCACCTCTGAATCACACCTTAAATTCACGAGAATAAAGGAAATGATCACCAATAAACTATGGTGAGAGAATATGAATATGCATACTGATCTTAAGGTGTAAAATTTACGCTAACGTCTCCATGAGTGATTACGTGGACAAAGAAAGAGCACAGTAAACTTCAGCTGTGGAAAGAGGGAATACGATCTTTGAGAATCAGCTTAGCTTATGATTGCCTCGTAGATATGTACGTCAAAACAAAGAGTTTAGTCACGTCCCAACCGTTCCTAGACAAGAAAAAAACCTGACAATATCTTGGCGAACCGGCTTCCTAACGAGATTGACGTGTCATATGATAATGAAATCCTCAAGGCACAACTTACAATGATCCACGAAGTAGGTTTCGAAGACAGAGTCAAATAATGCGCAAACGTTTCACCACAGCAGATCACTTTGTGTACTATTTGCTGATTTATAAAAGCCAATAAAAATGTAAAAATGTGCATCTTCAAGAGCACACAATTATCAAAGACACCATTTTTGTAGATGAGTATCGATTTCGTGACGTGTTCATTGTCAAATTTGAGCAATAAATTGAGGGTCGTTTTCTCACCCTGTTCCACAAGCGACATCGAGAATGTGTTTTACACCGTTGTCATTCAAAAGATTGCAGAAGAATTCTCTATATGACTCTGTTCGTTTCTTGTGTCCACCGATGTAGTGCTGCCAGACTTTTGCGGCTTTTCCATCTGCGTACTGATCTGGAATGCCAGAGACACCGATTCCCAAGGAACGTGTACGGTAAACGCTATCAACCATGGTGATTTAAATGTGCTTTAGGATCTGTACCGCTGTAACCTTTTCACCGCTTCGTAGTATTAATGAAAGGGATCACAAGGTTTGAGATTTTTACTCCAAAACAACCTTGACTCGTGATAGTAAATATGCTGTAAAGCAGCATGACTGGAAAGACTTGTTTTGATTTCCTATTATGGTGTGCTCTTTGTTTCGAATACGCTTATTATGGAGTTTATTACCAAATATGGTCGAAGAGTGGGGGTGTGTGCCTTGTTAAAAAAACGCGCGAGATTCCAGTTTGGCGGAAATGATTTTCCTTCAACACAGCCTAATCAAAGAAAAGAAGATATATTTCTTGTTTTATATTCTTGATAGATAAACAGTAGAAATGTAAAAAGTACTTTTAAAAGAGACGTGGACTTCGTATCAGTCAGGAGCTTAATTGAGATGCCATCCTTAACCCAATGTCTCGTGCACTTCCGGCTATTTTTAGCACAAACTGCGCCTTCCTCACGCAACGAAAATGTGCGTTACAAGCACTGTTGATATCAGTAATATTCTCGCGATTGATAATGTACATAAAAGAATTACGCGCTTCTGAATGGCTGGAAGCGAGTGCATTTTTCATGTATCACGAGTACAAAGTTGTAAAACAAGTGCAACTTACAAATAGCGCGCGCTGTCAAAATTTCGTCGGTTTTGACTTTCTGTGATGCTTCTTCATGCAAATTATTGATAAGTAATAACACGATTTCGCGTACAATTTGGTGTAAATAAGCACTTGTAAATTTTTCAAAGACTACAAATTACACTCGCCCTATAGGTTTCGTGCAATTTTGTTGTATTCGAAAAATTTACTCGTGCTTATTAACACCAAATTGCATTCATATTAGTACCTATACTAATCACATCTGGATGAAGTGTGAGGTTTACTCTTAAATATTTTCGCCGTTTTCCTGATAATATCGAGTATGTTGTAAACCAAGCCAGGCCTGTCTATATTGAGCTGGGGGACCCAAAAATCTTGGAACCGACCATTTGAACCACTGATGTTTTCATGCAAACGGTAAAGCAGCTGAAGTAAGTCCTCACTGGTGTTGTGTTTTTCGCATTGCAATATGGAAGACTCAATGACCTACGCGTGATCACCTAATCAGCGTTCAAAATACTCCAGAACATCATTGTTTTCAGTATGGTTTCGACGAGCGTGATCGTGATAGAACAGCGAAGGGATTGAACGTTGCGAAAATTCCTCAAAATCGTTAATTATTTCCCCCGTCATTCTCTCGACTTGAGATGTTAGTATTGCCGCTGAACGAATTGATAGCGGGCACAACAGCCGTAAAAATTTTTGTAAGGCATTGAAGTATCGCCGCTGACCAAACTTGATAGCGGGCACAATAACCGTATATCTTTGAAAGCAATGACCTATATATAATTCTGCAATGCCCTAGATATAGGTGAATGCTAAAGGGCATAAATATTTTCCGTATACTCTAAATATATTTGTAATTGGATGAATGTGTTTGATTAGCCCCAAATATATGAAACAATGCCAGGACAATGCCATATATTTGTTTATCATAACCATAAATATTTCTTTTACCGTAAATACTTGTTGCTATATAATGTTGTCCTTTACGGCACTCCATACGCGACAGCAACCTCGAGAAACTTCTCCCGGAATCCCGAGATTGTAAGATGGCATGTAAACGCAGGCTTTTCTTCGACCACGGCAAGGCGGGTTACTTCACCCTCCACGGGTTCCTTCATCTGCGTGTAAACAGGCCCTTAATATTTGTGCTGTGTAACACGTTTCTGAGACACCAAATAACTCATTGCAAAAGGTCTACAAAAATCAGGTATTAATAAAAAAAACTTCCTCGCTCGCTGGCTACCAAAATCCGAAAACATACCCGAGACGCTTTTACACGCGGTAAACTAGTTTGCATAAGGAAAGGCTACTAAGAACCGTGCAGGTGTGTCGCGCCAAAGCATTGTCAATATGAATTCATTTGAAGAGGCATCAGCCATGCAGAGTACAAATGAATGCATTCTTCCTCGTAGACTAGTAGACTTGGGATTCGATCTAGAATCGCTTGAAATTTCTAAACAACGTCTCAAGAAGTCTGAGAAAATTTTTCAGTGGAAATTTTGTGAAAATTGTTCGTCTGCCGGGGAGAATATTCAAGAGAATATTCTCCGGAAGTTTCTTATGCTAATTTTCTCCTATTTGGTTTTTCGTTTTTTGAATTTGATCTTTGCTTCCGGAATGACAATCAATGAAAGGTTCTTCTTTAACTTTGCGATTTCGAAATGGGAAGGAATGAACTATCGTTACGAGCTACCTCGCCTGCAGTTTCTTTTTTCTGCGTGGGTAGGTACAGAACGCTGGCCATAAAGATCAACGCTCAAAGAACCACCCTTTTCGCTAGCGCCACGCTTCAATATGGATTATCTCAACATTTGGTTGAAATCTTCCACGTTTTTCACGATGCAATATTTGTCCTGACGATCGTTTTATAGTCGGAGAAAGTTTTTGTTGTATTCCGTCTTCAAGGTCATTAAAAGTGAATTAAACGAAGGCAGTTTTTTAGTTCATGGTTAAAGTTTGCGAAAACGCTCCAATTTTTTTTTTCTGCCTCTATCTTAGCATTGGTCTCATTAATTATTTTTATAATAGGCAACAGCAAGGGGACAAACACATTAAAGTGCCCTACCAAATCATAGGAAATTCTACCGAAGGAACGTTTTGAATCTCATTTGAAAGATCCCTCTTCTAACTCCGAAATTATTAGGGGGGCAAAAACCCTATGGGCTTTCTTAAAATGTATTTTTCGGTTTCCTTCTTTGTAAGACCATATAGTAAATCAGAACTCAGTATATTCAAAGCGTTGTTCAGCCGTCATCACTTTCAGGTTCTAAAGGACAATGCAAATGTCACGAAACGTGAAAATATTCACTTGTGTAAAACACCGAGAACGGAAACGGAGTTTAGCAAGAATCTTTTCGATCGAATATAAATTTTTGCAAACAAAAATTGATCGACTGAGTTCAGCGAGGTCCTTTCTCTGTCTGCTTCTTCATGCTATTCAATTCTGATCAGTCCAAACTAGTATGCAGTATTTTTCTCGGCTCCAATTGACTCTGTCTTTATGTAGCTGCCATATTAGTTCTTCTCCGCGGCTAGCGATAGTACAAAACAAAGGTTTAAAGATATGTTTTCCCACTAAAGTTTATGGAAAAATGGAGGTGGACAGCGAGAGACTTTGGCATATCGGAAATGGTTTTAACCCACCCATGATAACATCTGAGATAATACATCGAATGTATTTAAGATAATGTATTTTTCGTTTCAAGATGGCTGTGGTGTTCGCACGCGTTCTCGTATAGTCGGAGGCTACAAAGCTGCCCCTCATTCTTGGCCTTGGCAGGTCATGCTCATGTATCCTGATCCCCGCTGCGGAGGGACGTTATTGAATGAATTTTGGGTCATCACCGCAAACCACTGTTTGCCGGACTATTTGATGAAAGAAGATGTTATAGTTAGGTAAGAAAGGTTACATGTCGAATGCTGTTACAAGTGATATTTAACATTCGTTCCATCCAATATTTTCCTTCTGTCATAAAAAAAACTCTTATTCTTTAAATGTAAACGAAAGGACATGTAGTGTCTTGCAAACGTAACGAAACTTTGAAGTTGAGAACTGTATACCATAAAAGGATTCATGGTTGCCTCATCAACAATACGCTGAAATGCATACGTTATCGTTTACAACCGTTAAGGTTTTCGCAATCGAAATCATTAACATTTTTTACTTTTCCCTTTCATGCACTAAAACGGTAAAGGAAAGCGATGATGTTTTCTTGGTGGAGGTTGATATTAAACTTAGTGGAAAAAATTAAAAAATATACAGTATATATTTACCACAATTATTTGTCACTTAGGGTCGGTGCACACCACCGAACCAAGCCGAATAAGTGGGTGCAAGACTTACGAGTGCGACAGATTTATCGACACCCGAAGTACAACGATCCCGTTATGTGGGCAAATGATGTGGCCTTGCTCCTGCTAGACCGACCAGCCCAATTGAACAGCGCAGTCCGCCCAATTTGCTTGCCTGACAAGGATGACCAACCGGGTACAGATTGCACGGTGACCGGTTGGGGTCGCCTGAGTCATTATGGTCCTTATTCAGACTACCTTATGCAGGTAAACGCACCATTCGAGGTTTAACATGTATTACTTTTAAAATGAATTAAAAAGTTTTGAAATAAAAGCAGATTTTCGAATACAATATAACTTCTCTGTTTAAGCCTGACAACTATTCATCTTAAGTATAATCACAGCAATATGTCAAAAAACAGCGTTTTGTGAGACGTTAACCTATAGGTGCGGGTTTTCTTTTCTTTCTTTTTTTATCGTTTTGTCAGATGACCGTTCCAATCGTGCCCTATTCTACCTGCCGAAAGATCTATCCAGAAGAGGTCCACGAAAGTATGCTGTGTGGAGGACATCTAACAGACAGAAAAGATTCTTGTGAGGGCGATAGCGGAGGACCATATGTTTGCGAGCACCAAAACGGCATTTGGAAACTAGAAGGAGTCGTCAGCTGGGGTTACGGTTGTGGATGGGAGGGCAACCTAGGAGTCTATGCCAATGTCTCTCACGTACGTGAGTGGATAAAAAGTGTATCACGTTTATGATACCACCGGTGAAAAGCTATTGTGATTGAATTTATGGATTTTTGACTGATTGATTGTCATTGACAATAAATATCTTCCGTTCACCTAATATTGGAGTAAAGTTAAAGCTTGTAAGTGGGACAGTAATTGTTATATAGATATTGATGTGATGACAGAATTTGGCTCGGTATTTGGTATTAGATATTTGCACATTTGGACAATTTGTAAAGAAAATTTAAAAGTGTGTCATGAAGTTAGTAGATAGTTTGAGCTTTTACTAAGGTTTTACTTCACTAGCGGGTTAAATATTCACATTAAAATAAGGTTAACCTTTGTGTGTAGTTATCCTTGGTTCAAGATTCGTTAGTAGATAATTTGTTTTGCCCAGGTGGTTCTCAATTTCCCTCCCATCATCAGCAGATTGAGTCCTACATTCTTCTTGAGTCCGAGAGCCGCTCCCGTCCACAATTCAAACTTACTAAGGCTAAAAGGCTTACTGAAGTTCAGATCACAGCAAGTTATTGCGACAAATATTAGTTGGTTAAGCCTTGGAAATCTAGTATATCGAGTGTGTGAGGTAAACTAGCTAAAAAGGAAAAATCCAAGCCCAAAACTTCATTATAAAATCCCTTCATGCTTCAGAATGGTAGTAACTAAGCGTCGATCAATTCAAGCTTCATCTTCTTTCTCACCCCCTCCAAGGTAGTCCACGGATAATTGAAGTTTTGAAGATCGGTTCGTTCAAAACTCCCCTGGGCTAACATTGCATTCAAGTGCCTTAAAATGGTATGGTTGCTGAAGCATACTTTTCCTTTAAAAACGAACTCTCTCGATCTTTAGTGGGATCTGGAAATTTAATTACATCGTTCATGATTTGGCAATCATTGCAAATCATTGATGCTTCTGGCTGACTACTATGCTATGACTGATAAAAATATGATTAACCCTTTAACTCCCAGAGGTGATCAACATGAAACTTCTCCCTGTAGTATCCTCATATTATCCAGCAAACAGGTAATGAGAAAATTCCAACATATCAGGTAGAAGGTGTTATCTTGATCTAACACCAAATTCTTGTCATTAATTTACAAGGAAACGTGTAGCAACGAGAGGGGAGAATTAACAATCAAATCTTGGGAGTTAAATGGAAATGTTAACTACAGATGTAAATCCCCTGTTAAGTCTGCCGAGCATGACTCTCGTAATAGCCGTGGTTACACACACCTTGAGTTTGGGGCCTTGCTGAGGGTAAATGGCCTGGGTTTGGTTAAGCTCAGGTTTCATGTTACCCTTGGGGATGCGGTTACACAGTAAAAGACTCCCCTCAGGGTCAAATACAATTAGATATGAGTTCACTGACCTGACAAATTGGCAGGAAAAGTACAGAGCAACGTGGATGTTACGAATCGAGATCTATTAAGCTAAATTTCAGTGATTCTCCTGCCTATTATACGACAGTCCTCCATAAATACAACAGTCCAGAAGTTTTTTGCGAGAAGGCACCGAAAAAAGGCGCGAAATTATCCAAGCGCATCGGAGGTCACCTCAAAACACTGCAGGCGATTTCCTGTATTAGCTACATTCTGCTTTATGATTGGTCAAGCCATCTCAGGGAGCAGATAAACCGAACTTTTCAGTTCAGGAACTGTCATGGAAAGTTCTTTTGTTCTTTTTGATGTATCCTTGGAAATAACCCTCGGGCAGTTTCGGTCTGGGGAAAGCGGTTACACACAAAAACGTCCTTACCCGTGGGCAAACGCTATTTACCCATGGGTAAAAGGGCTAGTGTAACCACGACTAATGTCTGCTAAAGTCGTCAGCCTAATGTGATGTTGACATTTTGATGCAATGATTTTACAGGCATCAATTCACGCGTCATACTCCAAAGTGTTAGCAGACTCTTGAATTAAAGCCACGAATCTGCAGGAGATGACAAGTTAAATGATGAAGTAACCCAAAGATAAAGTCTGTCGAATTGCACAATAATTTTAAATCATGAACGAAAATGGTTTAGTCCTATAAAATCTTTCAAATACCAAAGGATAAGATAAAGGAAGTAAGAGTACGTTTTGCTTAAGTTATCTGCCATAAGAAGGTAATTATTGTTGAACGACTCTGCCTTTCACAACGAGAAGCTCAGCCATTCTTCCCCCGGAAATCTGTGACCCTGTTGATCTCTAATGAATGTTGCCAAAATGTTAAGCACATATTGAAAATATCTGAAACTCTTCAAACCAAAGGCTGCAAGTTGAAGCAGAGTTCCTAATCTAATCAGAGATGGCAGGCTTCAACAGTCAAACCCTTATTTGATCGTCATCCATCTCTTGGCGTTATTAGGCTCGTTTTGTGCCCCTGCAGGACTAGTTTGGCTAGTTCCTTAGTCACCGAAAGTGTTTTCATCGGCCCACTTCTGACGATTTTTAAAAGACCCTGGAGCAGCCATTCTTCCCCCGGAAATCTGTAAAAATATCTGAAACTCTTCAAACCAAAGGCTGCAAGTTGAAGCAGAGTTCCTAATCTAATCAGAGATGGCAGGCTTCAACAGTCAAACCATTATTTGATCGTCATCCATCTCTTAGCGTTATTAGGCTCGTTTTGTGCCCCTGCAGAACTAGTTTGGCTAGTTCCTTTTTTCATCGGCCACTTCCGGCGATTTTTATAAGACCCTGGAGCAGCATAAATGAATCCATTTTCATGGATTGCGCCACTTCAATATGAATAGCTCGACTGGCCATACAAATGGATAAAGGCTCATAGCCTCTCCGCGTCCTTCTTCTCTTCGAAGTCGCCTCCAGCGGTGAAAACAATTGTTGAAATTGATGCGTAAGATTGCAGAACTGGTTTTCGTGTGAAATTTTGAAATAGCAAATTAGCAGCACCATTTTCTTAACGTGTCCTTCACTGCTTGTCTCACCTCAGCGATCTTCCAGCAATAAAGAATGGGATTCAGTGCTGAATTCAAGTAGATTAAAATGATCCCACATTGAGCAGCGAGAAAAACTGATGGGGTGAGATCTTTCAGATTTTATATAATATCGGTAATTTCATATGGTAGATAGCAAGTTATTAAAGCCAACTGCAGCCACAACGCACTAGCGACTGCCCTTTTATATCGCGTGACGTTCAGTGGACTTGTCTCCGCATTTGTATGTACATGCGGTTGAGTTTGATGTTGGCGGAGTTTCCAGAAAATGATTGAGTACGAAAACGATGAGATAACTAAACACAGTGATATTCCAATGTAGCCATACCATGTTGTGATAAGGTCGTTCCAAAGTGAGATTACCACAGCGAAAGTTGAAATTACCCAAATGACAGCTAAAATCAAGTATGTTCGCTTTAAGGTTACAACTTGTCTGTATCGCAACCTTAAACAACAGTCGATCAACACTGATTGCAGTCAACGTCAGCAAAGACACAGAACCTAGAAGGTAACCCAGGATAAAACGCAACATTTTCGAGTATCGACAAATGGTCCAGTTTTTTACTACAATTGAGACCCAAAAGGCAACACAAACAGGCTGGGAGATTAGTCCGACGCAAAGATCAGTGGTGGCCAGACCACGAAGCAAGAGTTTAGACGGCGGATGAAGGGAAGACTCATGGTGTAGAGCAACAAGAATCAGCTTGTTCCCCAAGATGGTTACAATGGCGAGGAAAATATTTAAAACCAACAGAAATGTCAATTGCAGGTGTAAATTCCCCAGTGAACCTTCCGAACATGAAACTGTCAGATTTTGTCCACTCATTTCGTTTAGTTTGATGTGAACAATTTCCTTCTATTTTACCACAAGAGTTGAAATCTACAGGACTGCCGGTCGGTAATAGTTAACAGTCGGTGCCTCAGAATCGGCTTATGTTTTGCAGATCGTTTTTCACCGGTATCCAGTAAGTTAAATGCAGATGTTCTTGCGAATACAAGAAAAGTACCGCGGGCAAGTCAGTTGTAGGCAATAAATTAATAGGACTGTCAGTTATTTGACCGCAGGTAAACAGAAGGCCCCTGAAGGATCATTGAATCGCAGTATTCCCTTATATAGGCTTGAAAAAAAAGTGAACTGAAAGCAGCCCGCTGCATCTGTACAGAAATTCACTCGACTTCTGGTTAGCTAATTAGTGTAAACAGCTATAAAATTGCTCTTATTTCAATACATTATTTTACGGCTAATTAATTTTATTTTCATATTTACACACGTAAACAACTACTGCCGAGTCACGTACGGCTAAATCGATTACCTCAATTGCAAATAAAATCCTTGTTTTTCCAGCGCGAAGTTATTACGTCTGTCCATATCGGTGACTATTTCGTATATTTTCGTTCGAACACCTTTTAAATGGCTGATGGCTATTGGAAGTTTAGATAGAAGTTTAAAGTTTGGAAGTTTACATCCGTTCATAGTGTAGTTTCGAGAAGAATCTACATAAAATGTCTACTGTCATGTAATTCAGTTACGTGCATGCTTTGCATAATCATTTGTAAAAAAAAACCAAGGGAAACAAAGGAAAAAACTGAAAAAGGCTTTTAATCCGTGGATATCTCAGTCTCGCGGCAATTTGAATCCAGAAAATCGTATCACAGACCCATTAAACTAAAATTGTTCAACTGAAACAAAATACAAATATCGGATTTAAATTAGCGCAAACTTGGCGATAGATAAACGTGCATGCTGTGCATAATTATTTGTAACAAAAAATTAAGGAAAAATAAAGGAAAAAAAACTCACAAAAGGCTTTAAATCCGTGGATATCTCAGTGTAGCGGCAATTTGAATCCAGAAATCGTATCACAGACCCATTAAATTAAAATTGTTCGACTGAAACAAAATAGACATTTTGAAAGTAAACCTATCAGTTTGTTGACAGTTTCATTTTTGTTTGCTTTTCAAGAGCGAAGACGAACTAATTTAAAACAAAACGCCTCAAAGATTTCAACGCCATTTGAGTTGAAAACCAAGGTTCTTGTTTCCGTGCTTTAATTTTTGTTGTACCTGTTTAAAAAAGATAAGGGATTTTTCCATCTGCAGGTACCTCTGACTTGTCTTTAGTAACAGATGCACTGCAGGTGCACTTAATTTACGCACTGATGAGACCAATTGTGCTATACTTTCTCTGTATATGGCTTCTAAAATCATCTGTTTGACTTTCCAGTACATTTTTTTCTAGCGAAATGTTTTCATTTCGTTCTTTCTATTTTTCGCTTGTATCAGCGAACTGGTATCGCTCCGGCAGATGTGAAAAAGTCCTTCTGATCCGTTGCAATAATAATTGGTGGGTACTGGGCCCAGAAAATAACACAATATATTTATTAAGACCAGTCCTTCTGAGGGCTTTGTATTAGTTTTCAAGATCAATTTCCTTTTCATGGCACAACTAAATTTTGTCAAGATATACAAGGATGATGTAACCTCGACCCTATCAAACTTAATGTTTCAGGAAGCAATGCAACTCGCCCTTTCAGAGATACAAATTCAAATATGTCTCCTCTGAAACGTATAACTGTGCTTTAAAGAAAAAAAACGTGTTGTGATCAAGCGAATTTGTGTTCACGCGATGTGGTTCAAATCATTTGGGTTGAACTCTATGACGCTATTGATGTATGGCCTGGTCACTTAATTTTTTAAAAATTTTTTTACAGAAGAAATAAATTTTCAAAAACATCAAAAATCATTTCTTTCTTTAGAATCTCAGCAAGCGGTTATTATGAGTTTTACCAAAATAACAATTTTTAAGTAACGGAAATTAACTATTTTTTTTTCCCGGAGCGTTCTTTCCTTTGATGTACTACTTTCTCAATGCTTTATTTTTGACTTACGTTCTGATAATTACTAAGCAATGTTATTATTAATGAATATTATTTTGATCAATTAAGATCCTCCATCCTGCTGATTTTCTATTTCTTAAAGCAAATCGATGGCGCCAACTCTTCATTATAGTCCAATTTTGAAGTTTTCAAGGGATGACATTAATTTCATACTATAGGGATTCAAATGAAATATGCTTTACAGGTAAATTTCCGTTTGAAAGACGCAAATGGAAAGACATATGTTGCCGTTTACATCGTCCTTAATGAGAATCAACTTGACCATTATCATTGGTAAATTTTCTTCAAAATTAAACCATTACAATATGTGCATAATGACCTTTTTTCATCTAATAGCCGAAACACAAAAATAACCTTAAAATTATATGTTATTATTTTTTTCCTCTGTCGATATGCAGGAGGTACGTTTATTATACAGCCAGTAGCGCCCGTGGGCAATTTGAAGCGAATCCTGTGTTCTGATGGACTTGGGTTATTGTGCGACAAACGCAGTTCGATTTCTTTCCCGGCTCTTGAAGTAAACAAGTCGATCTTGATTTTTGTCGTATCGAAACATTGTTTGGCTGTATTAAAAATCCTTTATTGACCAAGCTTGTTCGGCAAGATTGCTGAATATTCGCCTCGTTCTTTTTTTGCGTTTTTATTGACCTCAACATCGTCTCAATCCATAAAAACGTAAAAAATTAACTCGGCCATTATCTCGACCTCACACTTGGTCACTAACACATATACATTGTTACCAAAATGGTTCGTGGAGTGAAGAAATTATATGAGCCTATGATGAACAAAACCATTTCCTTAATATGTCGTTCACAGCTTCTCTTACTTCTCCAATCTTCCAGCAGTAAAGAATGGGATTTAATGTTGAATTTAGGTAAACTAAAATGAACGTGATTTGAGCGGCGAGAAAGACTGATGTTTTAACATTGTCTGGATCATAAATGATATCTGTAATTTGAAATGGCAGATAGCAAGCTATTAATGCCAACTGCAGCCACAATGCACTCGAGACAGCCTTTTTGTATCGGGCAATATCAAGTGTACTCGTCTGATTTGTCTGTACATGTAGTCGAGTTTGGTGTTGGCGGAGCCTCCAGAAAATCATTGAGTAGGAAAAAGTTGAGGTCGTTAAACTCAGTGATATACCAATGTAGCCATACCATGTTGTGATTAGGGCATTCCATCGTGAGATCATCGCAGCCACTGTAGATACTATCCAGATAAGAGCCAGAGTCACGGAAATTCGCCTACACGTTACAACTTGTCTGTATCGCAACCCAAGCATTAGGGCGAGAAGCCTTTCCACGCTAATCACTGTCAGCGTCAACAAAGAAACGGAACCCAATAAGTAACTAGCCATAAAAGTCAGAATACTGAATAATCGGCAAAAAGTCCAGTTTCTGACCACAATTGAGATCCAAAAAGCAACAGAGAGTGGCTGGGAGATAAGACCAACGGACAGATCAGTTGTAGCCAGACAACGAAGCAAGAGTTTGGATGGCGGATGAAGGGAAGACTCGTGATGTAGAGAAACAAGAATCAACGTGTTCCCAAGAATGGCTGTAATGGCAAGGAAAATGTTCACAACCGATAGAAAAGTTAGATGCCAACGTAAATCCCCTGCTAAATCTTCTGTGCACGAATCTGTCAATTTTCGCTCTGTGAACTCCGTATAGTTTGCGGTTGACATTATTGTGGTTTTCTTTCCCGGGAAATGATGGCGCAAGTCTTGGAGCAGCAGCTCACCCAACTGATAAGTGGATGGAGTAATAAACACGTTGCCGTTTATCACAAATCATGAACGGTGAATAAAGGCGTATATGTCTGAAATCATGAGAAACGTAAACATTTTAGTCAATTGTGGCCATCTATGCAAAGTTTGCATGTCATTAGACAGGAAATAAAGACTCTCATAGTGGAGTGTATTCTCGATCAAAATCTACCGTCTGCGTGGGAACAAAATTTGGCAGAAATAAAAGTCATTGTCGTACTTAATATATTCCACTAATCGTTAATTGTTAAAAGTAAAACAGCTGGATTTGCTTTCATCTGTGTGTTCTTGCGGTTTAAAACACACATTCGCAGTTTTATGTCAGGTCTTGTGATTATATCCAAGCAATGAAACTTTTTCGTGACCAGATGGAGAACTTAGGGTCGATGGTTAGTTTCAATTAATTAAGGCGACATGGTAATTGTTTTCTCTGTATCTGGCCATAATTACATGTTATGCTTTGAAGACAAAATCGTATTTATGAGCAATGAGAAAGCTAGACTTTTTTAAATAAAGTAAACACGAGTCATAATTGCTTACAATTTTGTCCAAATATTTGTTTTGCTTTCCGCATGCAGGTATGACTACGAAATCAAACGGTAGCAACCGCGCTAGCTTTCGTGACTTGTTTATTGCTCAAGTACAGAATACCGATGATATTGAAGCCCTTCCAAATGCGGATGAATCTGATTGGTTCTTGATAACAAAGACAGCACGCATTTCAATACCGTTTATGTGCGAAGTGTTTCGCTTATTTCTTCCCTTCTTTGGTAAAATGTTTGTGAATGGCTCTTCTCAACTAAACGTTAGTTGCAATTGATCAATATTAGGATTAAGAGATACGCGTTCATTGAGAACATTTCTTTTTAAAACTATCGATCTTGATTATCAGTATATCAATCGATTTAGTGAAAAAACTTTGATGACACCTTTAAAAGCAAAAAGTTTCAGAATGCCTGATGAGGCAAGGAATTCCAAATTTTTGGTCCTTGAAAAACTACAAAAAAGTATTTAACACAGGTTCGAAATTGTTGATTTCGATAATCAGTGCCTCATCTAGTGTTATACGGGTGCATAAAGCTATTGGTAACAAATAGAAATCTTAGGAAATGATGGCAGAAGTAAGCGGTGATGATAGGAAAACACGAACTATAACAAATGGAACTACAACCTTACCCTTAAGTTCCATAAAAGAATATTTCAAGCTGATGCCCTCTTCGCCAAACTAAATTTTGTTTACATCAGAAGATAATTTCACTTTCGCCTCATCGATTTAAGTTCCTATATTAAAAGCGTAGTCATTTATCTCGGAAATACGAATTTTTAAAATATATTTTAAGATATAGAACCGTTACGGTGCTTCACATTTATAAACTTGTTTACAAGAATCGATAATTAAACATACCGAAGAAAAATCATCTTGCTCAGTAATAATAAAAACTACTTGCTCGTCAAGAAATGATACCGGCAAACCGAGTGTAAACTATTTAGTTATTAACCTGCTGAAGTCGTAAAGGAGAAGATCGCGTATTATGCAAATCAATGGAAATCGCCTATGAATGACTCTCAGGTGTGTTTGACAACTCACGTGGAATTAGCTAGTACGAATAGTTTATACCGTGATTGGAAAAAAATGGACACCAAAAACTATATTTTCGGCCAGGACAATAAATACGTATGTCAGAACACAAAAATGTGTTTTATGACTTAAAGTTCAGGTTATTATATTATGATGCAGCTGGAAATAATCGCTACAAACTCAAGATAAGTACATGCGTGTTTGACTTATTCATTCATAATGTTTGTGGCTACTTTTCTGCTTGGGAAGCAAGTATGATTCAAAGGGTATTATTGATATATTTAGGAATTACACTGGAACCTGTCTTTCGAAAAATTAAGTCTACCCAATAGCTATTTATGACACTTCTCCTACTATCGAGTTTTTTCCTTGCGTGGCATATTCGCTACGAGCAAATGACTCAATTAAAAAAGGTTCTTTTCGTTTACACCTTTCAGATACCCCTAAATACTCTTTAAAGTCTTTCATGACGTACCCTGGGTAAGGGGGTAGGGGGGGGGGGTAGTTTCTCGCTCAGAGTTATACACACATTAGACAAAGCGCTCCTGTGGATATTGCACACCTTGCTCCGGGGTTTTATTCTACCCCTGGCTTAATATTCGATGTATTTCATGAAATCATTTTTTTTTAGAAAATTCTCATTTCCTTGTTTCCCCCTTGACTCAGCACGCTGTGCCAGTTGGTACTCAGTACAGATTAGTTTTGTGCGGTGCTCCTCCATCCCCCGCCTCTGTTGTTGTTCTTTGATCTGTTAATGCGTGTTTTGTCTCACAAATATTGAATATGTGTGGGGATTTTTCTAGAGTCAGAGTTCTAGAGTCAGAGGGCCTAATTTGAGTCTCAAAGAGTCTGGGAACTAGGTTTGTTTCTTTGAAAGTAACACATGCGCACACCGATTTCTCTCTTCCGGCTTCGTTCTGAAACCCAGATCACAATGGCGGCGGGTCAGAATATTCCAGAGCTTGGAGGCTATGATTTTGAGTTTACAAGTGTAGTTCCCGATGATTTTGAATGCCCTGTGTGTCAGTTAACAATGAAAGATCCCATACAGATCGGAGGATGTGGCCATAGATTTTGTAACATTTGCATAAAGAGCTTGTTGAGGTAAAGGCGTATCATTGTTTGTTGACAAGTTACTACTGAAAACAATCAAGCTTACCTGAAAATTGAATGACGACATTGACCAGTTGATTCTCTTCCCAAGGCGTATCATAGTGTGCCTCGGCTATATGTAAGTAACTGCTTGATAGCTTTGTTCGGCACAAAACAATCCAAACAGGTGCGAGGTTAGCGTGAGTACTTGTGAGTGCGACGGAAAGCTATCAAATATTACATGAAATAGTTGTTGGCTGCCTTTTAGGTGCTTCAGCACAAGTGCATCTAACAGAGTCATCGAATGATATAATCTTTCTCGTTTACTTTTTTAAATATGAGTCGACTTAAACTTATTATAATTTGTCTTTTAAATGCAAATGTT